AAGCGCCTTGGCGTCTCGGGAGTGGCGCGGCGCTGCTGATAGGAGCGCTCGCAGACTACGGCAGCGCTTCGTGGGCTTCGGCGTTCGGCCCGTGGGCGCTTCGCGGAGCGCTGTGGCGTCCCTGAAACCCGCAGCACTGGGATGGGCAGACGACAGGAACGGGAAAGGTCAGTGGGGCCGGACCCTGGCGCTGCCCTGGCGGCTTCCCGGTGGTGTGAGGTGAGCAGCCGCGAAGGCTGGTGCTGCAATCCCCGTTCCTCTGTCCCTGGCAGGTGCCCATGGCGTCGGAGCGGCGCAAGGTCAAGTACCACTGGGGCAGCACGTCGGAAGGGTGTCCCAGCAAGCGCAGCCGCTCCCGGGAGCCCGGCAATGTGGCCTCCTCCAGCCGACCAGTTCGCAGCTGTGCGTCGCGTCCTCGAGGGGCCAGCAGCCCCCAGCGTCTGAAAGCCCGGCTGGGGAACTAGGTGGCCCGCACGGCCCGGAGCTCAGCCCGCCGCCGCACCTCCTCTTCCTCTTCGTCGTCCTCTCTCTCCTCAGGCTCAGGTGCAGGCGGGGCTGCCTCCCCTGGCTTCCTGATTGCGAGCCCTCGAAGGTTCCTTACGTCCAAGAGATCCTCTTTGCACCCTGCCCACTCCTCCCTTGAAGAAATGGCTTCTCTTCGGAAGGAAGCTTGTAAGGTAGGTGGTGGCGACATCTAGCAAACGGTGAAGTCTCTTGCACGTGGCTTGAGAGCTGGAGAGGAGAAATTGGGTGGGAGGAGACTAAGAATTAGATTTTTTTTGTGTGTAGGGTTTGGGTGTGTGTGTGGGGGGGAGTCGGGGGTGGAGTTCAGTGTAGAGGGAGTTTTCAAACTTGGTGGCATTTGCAACTACTGGAAAGCTTGGCAATGCTTGTGGCCTGCCATCCCAGAGAGAACGATTAAAGAGTGGATCTCTGGAGGAGGTTGGAAGGTGGAATGTTGCTCAGGAGAGAGGATGTAGATTTTGGTCAGTTTAAAGAATTTGCCCTTGGGGCTGGAGAGATGGCACATACTGGTCTTGCAGAAGACCCAAGTCCTGAGTCCAATTCAGGGGGCTCACAACTGCCTCCAATTCCAGCTCCCAGGAATCCCATTTCTCTGGCCTCCATGGGCATCTGCATGTGCTACATACATACACTTAACTAAAAATAGAATTTAAAAAATGTCGTTGTTAGAACAGCTATGAATCTCAGCCAAGGAGTTGGACTCTTTGTGTGACTTTTTCACCAAAGTTGTGGATTCTGGCATGTTGACATTCTCTTTGGTGGTTTGGTTACACGGTTTTGTTTTTTTGAGACAGGGTCTCTATGTAGACCAAGCTGTCTTGGAACCCACAGATATCTGCCTGCTTCTGTGAGATTTAAAGGCATATGCCACTATACCAGGATTGTGTGGTCTTTTTGTTAGTAGTTACCTTTGGAGATTAACTCAAGTCTAGTTCCCCAGTGGAAGCCCAGGAGTGGGGTTTGTAAGTTCTTGGAGCAAACTGAGGAGTGCTTCGAGAGTAGATCCATTTCACGTTTTGAGTAGATTTACTGAGGTCCTGTTTTGTGCCTGACAGTGGTAAGGAGTGTGGGATTCTTAACTGTAAAATAAAGATCTCTGCTCTTATACTGATGTTACAGTGTAGGCCTCTTAGCAGATATGTGTGACCTTGTTTGTCTTGAGTCTCAGGTGTTGTGAGCTGACACAGCTGAAGATTATTGATGAAAACATTTTCCCAGGGCCATCTCAGGTTGCTTAATCTGTCCACACCAGCTCTGCTTGCTTTGACTTCGACTGGTGCACACTTGGCCTTGTGTGTCCCACACTTTCAGGTCAGAGCTCTCAGTGTCAGGACATAGAATGTTCAAGAGGGAAGATGTTTGAACATTTTATTTATTCCCTGAGGGCATTAGTTTAGGACTTCCATATGAGCCGGACGGTGGTGGTGCATGCCTTTAATCCCAGCTCTCAGGAGGCAGAGGCAGTCGGATCTCAGAGTTCAAGACCAGCCGGTCTATAAGGGCTAGTTCCAAGACAGCTTGGAAAGCCACAGAGAAACCCTGTCTTGAAAAAACACCCCCCCCCCCAAACAAACAACAAAAAAGGACTTCCATATGCTAGGTGAGTGCTCTGCCTCTGAGATACATTCCCAGTTCCTGGTTAGTCCTGATGCCCACCTCACTTTGTTCTTTTGTTATTCCTCAAGTCTGAAGTTGATTTCTTAGTTTTTTTTTTCCATCTTTTGTTTTTTGTTTTTTGTTTTTTTATTTTTTGAGACAGGGTTCAGGGTTTCTCCTGGAACTTGCTCTGTAGACTAGGCTGGCCTTGAACTCATAGAGATCCACCTGCTTCTGTCTCCCGAGTCCTAGGATTAAAGGTGTGCTGTACTATAGCCCCTCCCCCCTGTTTTTTTTTTTGTTTGTTTCCCAGCTGAATTTGGCTTTGAACTTCTGATCCTCCTGTCTATATTTTCCTAGTGCTGGAATTAGAGGGGTGTGCACACCATACCTGGCATCTTTTTTTTTTTTTTTTTCCTTCTTCCAGAGTTGTTCCTTTTTAAAAATAACAAAATAATGTTTATTGGGCTTGAAGAAATGGTTGAGTGGTTAAGTACCGACTGTTCTTCCAGGTGACACAAGTTCACTTCCCATCACCCACATGACAGGTAACATTTGTTTGTAACTCCAGTTCCATGGAATCTAATTCCCTCTTTTGTTCTCCATGGAAAGTGGTGTGCAGACATATATGCAGGCAAAACACCATGCACATTAAATCTTTAGCAAGTCATTAAAATGTTAATTCTGTGTGTATGGGGGGCATTCATGTGGTGATCAGAAGATAACTTTTGGAAGTGGTTCTCCCCCTACCAAGTAGGTCCTCAGCATCTAATTCAAGTTGTCAGGCTTGACAGTAAGTAATTCAGTTTACTGGTTCCGCCGCACTAGGGTAGCTAGCCAACAAACTAGGAATCTACTTATCTCCACTCTCCTTTTCACATGAAACCATCTCTCCTGCCCCAGGGAGTTTATTTGTAATTATTAGATTTTTTTCCTTTTACTTGGTCAGGGATGGAACATGGGACTTAATTACAAGTGCTCTGCCACTAACCCCCCAACCCTTTGTTACTACCCAGCTTGCTACTCTTTGCAGTGTGCTTAATAACCCCCCACTTTTGTTTGTTTGTTTTGGTTTTTGGTTTTTCAAGACGGGGCTTCTCTGTGTTACAGCCTTAGCTATCCTGGAACTTGATCTGTAAGCCAAGCTGGCCTTGAACTCACAGAGATCCACTTGCCTCTGGCTCCTGAGTGCTGGAAGTAAAAAGCATGTGCTACCACCACCCAGCAATAAACCCATTTTTTTAGTTTTAGTTTTATTTGTGTAAGTCCATGCAAAGTGTTTGAATGGGGTCAGAAGACAACTTTCAGCAATGGTTCTCCCACTGTGGGGATTGAACTCAGCTTGTAAAGCTTTGCAGCAAGTGTTTTTGCCTGTTGAGCTATCTTTCTGGCTCAGTAAACTTGTTCCCCCTACCCCGCCCCCCCCAAAAAATTTAGCAGAATAACAGTAGTGGCTTCTACATTAGGTCCTACTACTATCACAGTCACTGGCTTTTGACCAGTTTTGCAGTACTGGATGTGAATTATCGTCATTTGAGCTGGCCTTAACTCCAGTCAAAAATCGGTTAGCTATTCTTTTAGTAGTAATGCCTCTGTTACACTAGTGGGTATATCTTATTTGTCAGGTCAAGAGTGTATACCGTAAGGGTCCACAGCATACTAAGACCATTGATGACAATTCTCTCCCAACAGCATGAGTATCCCCTTCTGGCATTATGAAAGCTAGCCAGCAGGGAGAAGACTTCTAGCTTTATTTTTTCTGTGTCATACAACCAGAGCATGTGATGGTTATACAATATGGACTTCCCCTTTCTGAGCTTATTAAATGGCGTGCGTGCGTGTGTCTGTGCGTGCGTGTGTCTGTGCATGCGTGTGTCTGTGCGTGCGGTGTGTCTGTGCGTGTGTGTCTGTGCGTGTGTGTGTCTGTCTGTCTGTCCGTCCATCCATCCATGAGTGTCTGTCTCTGGCACAGGAGAAAGTAAGTCAAAGGAATTGGGTTCTCGCCTTCTACCATGTGGGTTTGGGAATTAAACTAAGATTATTAGGCTTAGTGGGAAGTGACTATGTTGGTGAACCATCTCACTTGTTCTGTTTTTTTTTTTTGTTGTTGTTGTTTTTTGTTGTTGTTGTTTTTATTTTAGGACACCAATTTTTAATATATAACTCATGCTTACCTGGAACTCAGTGCCCAGGCTGATTCACATTCACAGTGATCCTCCTACCTTAGCCAAGTGCTGTGATTATAGGTGTGTGCCACTGTGTCTGGCCCGAGTGAGTATATTTGCTTTGAGAGGAATGTAATATAAACGTTCAAGCTGCGCTGGCTGTAGAATGCCCTAGGCTCATATTTGTTGTGTTTTACAGCTGGGGAGGTTTGATGTTTCTTTGCATTTGTGAGGGCTCCAGTTTTCTATCATGCTGGACTAAAAGTGAACCTCAGTGTTAACACAAACTAATAGTCTGGCTTATCTGCTGCAGACTCTTGGAGTAAGTGGAAACAGAAGAAGAAAATGGGGCTGAGATACTACCTTTGTTTCAGGAGGTTCATCCTTATGTCATCTTTGGGAGAGTATCCTCTAACAGCAGGGTTACAGTTTGGGGAAAGAGTTAGAAGAAGACTCGAAGGGAAGATTAGTCCATAGGGGCAGAACTTAGGACTAGTGGACTTGGGTACCTTAGGCCAGCCCTCCCCCTTGCTGGGGAAGGTCTTAGGTTTCCTGAGTTTTGTAGTGGACTGGGCTAGTTCAGTGGAAAAATATTGATTTGTTATGTTATTTTATCTATTGTGAAGTGTGTCCTTGTTTCCCATCTCTCAGTATATAGTGCAGCTATACTGTTATGTTCCCTGTTCACTGAGGTAAGAAGATGCCATGATGCACTTTAGAAGTGAATTTTAAATAAATGACTAAAACATTATTAGCTTTCCGAAATGGAATAGGAAGAAACTACTGTCTGGGTGAATCTTACCTTTGTCACGTTCACTCACTTAGGCTGATGGAGCTACTAGTGACTTGTCATTGGCTAAAATTTGCAGATACCAAATTTTTCTTAGAACAAACCTTTGAAAGTTTCTTTTTAAATTCCAGGTTGATTCTAAAGATAGTTCTTGTCACTCTATGAACTCTGAATTTGCAACTGAAGCTGAGGGTCAGAGTGATGCTATGGAGGAACCTAACAAGTTCCAGAAAAGGAAGAGGGACAGGCTTCGAGACCAGGGCTCAACAATGATCTACCTAAAGGCCATCCAGGGCATCCTGGGGAAGTCAATGCCCAAGAGGAAGGGAGAAGCTGCCACCACTCGGGTGAAGACAAGCTTGGGAGAGTATCCAAGCAGGGAAGGACCAACCAGGAATGTGGAAGGACCATCCAGAAGCAGGGAAGGACCCTCGGTCAGGAGTGGGGAAGGACTAGCCAGAAGCAATGAAGGACCTGCCAAGGGCATTGAAGGACCTGCCAGGAGTATTGAAGGACTGGCCAGGAGTGTGGAAGGACCAGCTAGGAGCCGGGAAGAACTGGTTAAGAGTGTTGAAGGACCAGGTGAAAAGGTTACAGTTACTGTACCTCAGAAGGAAGAGTCACCTACAAAGGTCAGGGTGAAGAAGAAGGAAGAGTCTATGCTAGACAGGAGTAGCTTCTGTAACAGAAGAGTGATTATAGACTCTGTGAAGAAATCTAGTGAGGAGCTGCTTGGTGACCAAAGGACAGTCATTGACAAACCCTCTCCAGTCCTAGAATTTTTTGATAACTCTGACTCTCATGCAGATATTCAAAAGGTAAATGAGCACACACTAAACATCTGGGTTTTGAATTATCTTGACTATGTATATTTGGCATTTAGTCTTTCTAATTTGATCCTAAGTGATAGAGATACTATAATTGGTATCATCCCCCCTCCTGACCTGTGTCCACCACCATACTGAGGATCAAATTCAGGACTCTAGGCATACTAACTAGGCAAGTTCTACCTCTAACCCCAACTCCTAGTTCCTGGAGGATAGTAATTAAAAGCAATACTTGATTTAACATGGACTCCAGGAAATTAGCGCCTCTCTTCCATCATTCCTTTCAATTATTAATAAATTTTGTTTGGCTTTTTAAAAAATAAAAATTCTATTAAATGTGATAGGATGTAGGTTTGTTTGCATTGAAAAAGACCAGCATGATAGTGGCCTAAACAAAACTGAATTTTTGCTTAATAAGGATGGGCTCTTGGTGCATTCTGTCTTGATGCTCTGCCCTGCTAAATATAGTATCCATCTTATAGCCTGAGGTGGGTGTACTGATAGAATTGAGTTTGTTACACAGACATTTGCCAGTAGAAAGCAGATGAGAGAAAAGGAAATATACTTTTTTTGTTCTTGAGAACTTGATTCAAAAATTATACATATTGAATTTTTTCACACCTATTTAGAAGCACCTGGAAACCCAGTTAATACCTAGCTTCAAGAGAATAGAGTATGAGAAATTCTGCCTTGAGCTCCATGTTCAAATATCAGGTTCCACACTGAAGTCTTTATCTGAATCTAATTGCATTGCAAAGGCCTTGCTTCTGAACCACACAGTTAGGTTAAGTTTATACTCCCTGGTGTAACCTCAGAGTGGGATTAAGATCCGAGTGAATTCTGGAGGGGAAAGACTATTTTGGAACCACAGCACTGGATGAGAGAGGGGTTTCCCATAGGACGGCTAACTTCTTGCTTTTCTCTGCAGCACACAGACAGAGAGGTGGTGATTGAGCATCCCTCTTCAGGGAGTGACTGGTCAGATGTGGATGAGCTGGCCACTGTGAGGTTTTCCCAAGAGGAGCCTGTCTTGCTGAAACACTCAGCAGTTCCAGAATCTTCTTCCTTCCCCACTGACTATGTTATGTACCCTCCTCATCTGTATAGTAGTCCATGGTGTGACTATGCCAGCTACTGGACTAGCAGCCATAAGACTCCTGGTTATCCATTGGTGGGATCCAGCAGCCATGACTCAGCACAGACTGGGAAGAGCAGCCAGGACCTTTTGAGTGTTCATTCCTCTAAGTCCACAGTGAATACCCAGAGTATCTCCAAAGACCTGGACATTGCCCAGGAAAGCAGGTCCCAGAATTCCCATTCACTTCAATTCTCCAGAAGCACAGAGGAGAAGGAGGAGGTAAAGGGGAAAAGGACATTCCGAGAGGAGACACCACCTCGCTACACCAGAGAACATACATGCAGCTCCTTGCCAAGGAGCCACCGGGAGATGAACCTGGAGGAGGGCTTTATTGATACCCACTGTCACCTGGACATGCTTTACTCCAAGCTGTCTTTCAAGGGGACCTTTACGAAGTTCAGAAGAATTTATAGCACTTCCTTCCCTAAGGAGTTTCAGGGCTGCATCTCTGACTTCTGTGATCCAAGGACACTGACTGATGGCCTATGGGAGGAACTCCTGAAGGAAGATCTGGTTTGGGGAGCCTTTGGCTGTCACCCTCATTTTGCACGCTACTATAATGAGAATCAAGAAAGAAAGCTTTTGCATGCCTTACGGCACCCCAAGGCTGTGGCATTTGGAGAGATGGGCCTGGACTACTCTCACAAGTGTACCACACCAGTTCCTGAACAGCACCAGGTACTGCCTCTACTAGTCTGCTTTCCCTCATACATTTCCTTAGTGGTTGAGCCTCCCAGTAAGAGCTGTTCTGCATTTAGAACTCCTTGAATGCCATTCTTCAACTGTTTTTCAGAACTTTTTTTTTTGTTGTTGTTGTTTTGTTTTGGAGACAAGGTTTCTCTGTATAGCCCTGGGTGTCTTCGAACCATAGGCCAGGCTGGCCCAAGATCACTTGCCTCTGCTCCCAAGTGCTGTGATTAAAGTGGCCTTTTTTTTGCCACTATGTTAAACTGACCTTGAAATTGTGATCCTTTTGCCTCAGCCTCCCCAGTGCTGGGATTAACAGCACCCTTGACAACACCATGCCCAGTTTTTTTTTTTTTTAAGATTTATTTATTGCCAGGCAGTGGTGTCTTGCACCTTTAATCCCAGCACTCTCGAGGTAGAGGCAGGTACATCTCTGTGAGTTTAAGGCCAGCCTGGTCTTCAAAGAGAGTTCCAGGACAGTCTCCAAACCTACAGAGAAACCCTGACTTGAACAAAAAACAAAACAAAAACAAAAAAATTTATTTATGTATAAAGTGTCTGCATGTATGTTTGCAGGCCAGAAGAGGGCACCAGATCTCATTATAGATGGTTGTGAGCCAACACCATGTGGATGCTGGTAATTGAACTCAGGACCTGTGGAAGAACAGCCAGTGCTCTTAACCACTGAGCTATCTCTCCAGCCCAGGGTTTTGTTTTTGTTCATTTACTTTGGTTTGGGAATTGGCATTGTTGAGGTTTAAATCCAGGACCTTTGCAAATGCTGAGAAGGTGCTCTGCCACAGAGACACACCTAAAAGCATTTTATTTGTCTCCTTTTGTAATCAATCCTAGCTGGCCTGGAATTTGCTATGTAGAATAGGTCAGCCTAGAACTCAGAGACCTCTTGCCTCCACTTCCTGAGCAATAATAATTAAGGCATGTGCCAACAAATCTGACTTTTTGGGTTTTGGAGACAGGGTTTCTCTGTGTATACATGGTTATTGTGGAACTCATTCTTACGGACTAGGCTGGCCTCAGACTCAGAGATCCACCTGCCTCTGCCTTCTGAGTGCTAGGATTAAAGGCATGTGCCAGCCCACAAGGCTACATCTGATTTCTTGAGCACTTTTATAAAAGGTGCAAATGAGGCATTTTGAGTCTTGTAGAAAATTATATTTATTTATTCATGTGTGTGTGTTCATGTGCATGCATACTGTCTTGGTGAGTGGAGGTCAGAGGAGTTGGTTCTCCCCCACTGCGGGTCCTGGGGATTGAACTCAGTTGTCAGGTTTGGTAGAAAGTACCTTTATCTGCTAGTTCATCTTCCTGACCTTTATTCAAATAACTGTTTTTAAAGATCCATTTAAATTTTAGTGATGTGTATGTATACATATATAGGGATGTACATGAGTGCAGTGCCTGTGAAGGCCCAAAGAGGGTGTTAGAGCCCCTGGTGGAGTTCTAGGTCTTTGTGAGCTGCTTGACATGGTTTCTGGGAAATGAACTCAGGTCTTCAGTAAGAACAGGACAGAAAACTGAGTCATCTCTCCAGATGCCTGTTTTGAAAGCACTACTACTACTACTACTACTACTACTACTACTACTACTACTACTACTACTACTACTACTACTACTACTACTACTACTACTACTACTACTACTACTACTACTACTACTACTACTACTACTACTACTACTACTACTACTACTACTACTACTACTACTACTACTACTACTACTACTACTACTACTACTACTTGGTTTTCCTGAGACAGGGTTTCTCTGTGTAGCCCTGGCCATCCTGGAACTCTGTAGACATGGCTTCCCTATGCCTCCCAAGTACCACCACCCTCTTGAGGGTTTCTATTGCTGTGATAAACAAAGACCAAAAAAGAAGCCAAGAGTAGGAGCCTGGAGGCAGGAACTGAAGCAGAGGCCATGGAGGAATGCTGCAGATTGGTGTGCTCATCCTTCTTTCTTAATATACCCTAGGACTGCCAGCCTAAGGGTAGTGCTACCCACAGTAGTCTCCTCAAATTAACCATCACTCAAGGAAATAATCTACAGGCCAATATGGTGGGGACATTTTCTCAAGGTTTTACTCTTTCCAGATGACTCCAGCGACTGTCAAATTGATAAAACTAAGCAGGACAGACCCTGTGGCACAGGTTAGATGTGCCAGGGGAAGAGGAGCAGTTCAGGGAGCTCATCCTTGCAGTGTCACAGGTTTACTGGATGCTTGGTGCCAGGAACCCTGTTAAAAGAACTTGACAGTACCCAAGTTCTTTGTTAGATTATGAGGGGCTCAGATCACATCTACAGTCCAGAGTCACTCTGCTCAAGCTGAACTTAGTGTTCTTCTGGCTCTCACTTGCTTTGGTGAGATGAGACTCAAATGAAAAATAATAATTAAGGAAGTAGATTGCTGATTGGAGAAGGACAGAACACACACCTGAATGTGAAGCACTTCTCATCTTAGATGTTTCTGTCAACATGGAGGATGCTGAGCTGGAGAGGGGAAGTGGATGCTGTGTTTTTTACATAAATCTTAAATTAGGTACCTGGTAAAGTGAATAGTGACCTGCACCAGCCTGAAAGTTTTTCTTGGTGAGGAAGAACCCAGGGAAGTATTGTGTCTGGCAGTATTGGGAGGGGTCATACCTGACAGAGTGTGAGTACTTGAGCACTTAGCATGGGCCATGCTTGGGTTCTGTGTTTGATTCACAATACACACAAGAGTAGCTAGGTAGCTGGAAGGAGGAGGAGTGAAGCTTAGTTTTGTTACTTGATACTTACATACTTCCTGAAGGACTGAGAAAATAGAGGGGGAAAAATGAGGAAAATGGTTCGAGTAGTTCTCATTAAGTCTTGTTTTTATCTGTGTGAACACCAATTTAACTACTTCACTTCCAAGGATTAGGCCCTAGATATTTCCTGAATGCATTGCACATTCTTTGAATGAAAAGCCAAGAAGACTGACCTCACCCACCTCATTGAGTCCTGGGTATCTGTGCCTCTATTTGTGTTCTCTTGGAATTAATTATTGGGTTAATAAAGATGTTAGAAAGGCTTGGTTCGCCTAGGAGAGCAGGGTTAAATCCAAAGTCCCTGTTAATGACTTGTCAGCTGAGGACCAAAGTTTAGGTAGTCAGGAGAGAATGTTGGGGTAAATAACACAGGTGTACATCCTTTATTGTTCTCTTTGACCCTGCATGCTAGGGTTTTTTTTTTTTTTTTTTTTTTTTTTTTTTTTTTTTTTTTTTTTGGATGAGTGTGTCAAGCTATTGTATATTTAATGTTAGGCCTGTTGGTAAGTTGCAAGGGACAGTTGGTGACTTGTCTTAAAATTACCTGTCAAAGATTCAAGAAAGTAAGTGTAGGTAAGTGGTCCCACCCTCCTCATGCAGGAGATAGAATTTAGAGTCTTGGGAGATGTGCTACAACAGCTTTAAAATTGTGCCTTGCAATAATTTTAAGAAAAGAAAATAGGGTCATGAGATAGCTGAGTGGGTAAAAAGATTTGCTGTACAAGCATGAGACCTGAGTTTGGATTCCAGCATCAGTGTAAAAATCATTTGATTTGTGTCTGGTTATTATCCTGTGCTTAACACTTAAGGGTGCCAGTGAGATAGCTCAGTAGGTAAAGGCACATGTCATAAAACCTGATGACCTGAGTTTTATCTTCTGGACCCACTTGGTGGAAGGAGAGTTGTCTAATGATCTGCCCTCACCTTAAATAAATAATAAAGGTATAATAATGTTTTTAAAAAGTTAAAAGCTATATCAGAATTGATATTGGCCTGTACTCCGCTTTGAGATTATTTGGTACCTGCTTTAGACATGTTTGTCATTCCTAAGTGGATATTACCAAAAGTGTGTTGTTACTGACCTGAAGATGCAAACATGAGCTATACTGCACAGCTAAAATAATTGCTTATGGAAGTGTCATGTGTTAGGTGAGGCAATTTGCTGAACAATTCTGGTACTATTTATTCTAAATTTGGCCATGGTAGAGGAAAGAAAGATTTGTCTCTGCTCGTTTGCTTACATTATTAACTGTGGATTTTACCAGTCTACAGAATGAAGTGGATCCACAGGTACTTACTTATCAGGACATTCAGGAATTGTAAACCCTAAGACATGGGCATTTTGTTGGTGGTGTGAGTTGAGTGTACAGTCCTTCCATAGGGAAGGATCTTCTTCAAAGTAGAGGTGTGAGGTATTGTGCTGAAATACAGCAAATTGGAATTATATACTCTAAATCTCTGCTCCTGCACCCTTAAACATTGCCAGCTGCTCAGGGAAGTGAATTGGGTATCAATAGCTCTGGGTTACCGCTTTCTAGGCTGGCCATAGTGCCTGCCCAGGGAAACCAGTGAGGATTGCAAGTTGTTAAGCAGCACAAGGGCATTGAGGACTGGGCAGTGTAGGAAGTACCAGTAGATGGTACCTTTTTTTACAATTCTATTGTATAGTTTATAGGTTAGAAGCGAAGAATTAGAGGCAGAAGTACCCAGAAGTAACAGACTGAAGGGCCACTAATTAGATGCTGTGATTTTGCTTTCTCTCAGGTTTTTGAGAGGCAGCTGAAGCTGGCTGTGTCTCTGAAGAAGCCCTTGGTCATCCACTGCCGTGAAGCTGATGAAGATCTGTTGGACATCATGAAAAAATTTGTGCCCTCTGACTACAAGATCCATAGGTTAGGAGCTGCAGCTTCAGTGGGCACATGGGCACTCCTGTACTAACTGCAGATAAAACTCGAGGAAAGCAATCATGCTATTTGGGTGTTTTTTGAGGCCTTTTGTGATCTGGACTCTTGTTCTATTTTAAAAATAACTTAAATATTTTTTTAGATTTTCATACATGAGTACTTTATTTGTTTTGCTTTTTCCAGATAGGGTTTCTCTGTTTAACAGCCCTGGCTGTTCTGGAACTCACTTTGTAGACCAAGTTGTCCTGGAACTCACAGTGGTCTGCCTGCCTCAGCCTCCCAAGTGCTGGGATTAAAGGCATGCTTTATTTTATTTTATTTTTTTTGTTTTGTTTTTATTTTTTCAAGACCGGGTTTTTCTGTGTAGCTTTGGAGCCTGTCGTGGAACTCTTCTCTGTAGACCAGGCTGGCCTCGAACTCACAGAAATCCATCTGTCTCTCCCTACGGAGCACTGGGATTAAAGGCTTGTGCCACCACCGCCCAGCATGAATACTTTATTTAAATCATGTCTACCTCTTCTACCATATTACATTTAAGAAAAATTTGGGAGTTTTGAGACAGGGTCTTGAAAGCCTGGGGTAGCCTGGAACTCATGGATATCTCTTTGCTTCAACCAGAGTTCTGGGATTACAAGGTGTGCCACCACATCTGGCTTCCTATGTGTTTTAAAGTATCTTTTTTAAGAGAATTAAACATTAACTAGACTCATAGGAAACTTCTGGTGCTTGACAAGTTTTTGCTTATACAGCCATGACTTTTTAACAGTTTAATTTAATATTCTTTAATCACAAAGGAGCTAGAAGGGGCTTCCTGGTCTCAGATGAGGGAGAGGCTGCTTTAGGGTACAGTAGCTCATCATACAGAGACCCTTCCAAGGTTTCTGAAAAAGTACTTCTTATACTTCTTTTCCTTACTTGAACTTGAAAGCTCTTTTTTTTGTTTGTTTTGTGATAGGGTCTCACTTTAGCTCAGGCCAGACTTCAGATACACAGAGGAGGATTACCTGAATTCCTGATCCTCTTGCTCTGTCTCCCCTTTGCTGGGACTATAGGTATACACCACCAGGATCAGGTTGTTTTACCTCAGTGACAACCACAGTCTTAGTCTAGAAGACTCTCTTGCATTCCCATATTGCATGTACCAGGCATGGCCCTGCCCTGGGGATGCCATGGAGGCTGTAGAAGCTAGACAAAGGCTACTGGTGGCATTAGTATGCAGAGTGTGGGACAGAGGTGGACATGGATATAGGTCCATTAGTCTGACTAGAGGTGGTCAGGAATTGATGCCTGAGTGAGCTGTTTTGCTGGGCAGAAGGGATGAATAGAATTTGGCAAGGGTGGAAGTGAATCTGGGTCTTGTCAGATGGCAGGAGGGAGTGGGTTTTCAGTCAACTGCTGCTACTCACTGGGTACTAAGTGGCTGAGGTGCAGTGAGGAATGGTTGGTTGGGTTTTTGGGGCTTTGACAATGGTTGTCTTTAAAGGGACAGCTGGACCAAAGCTAAGACAGTTTGATGGGGAGTTGTGGCCGCAGGAAGCTGAGAGTTCCAAGAGTTGACAGTATTTGTTGCCCAAGAACATGAACTGTTGTCTCATTTAAGAAGAAAATTCTTAATTTCAGTAGTTGAAAAGCAGAGGCAAATGAATCTCTGTGAGTTCGAGGCCAACCTGGTCTACATAGTTTCAGGACAACCAGGGCTATATAGAGAAACCCTGTCTCAATAAGTTGGGGGGAAATTTTTTTGCCCCCCCCTTTACCCATTTCCCATGATTTTCATTTGTCTATTTCCTTTTAGTGCTTCTGACAGCACAGGCATGATTTTTCCATGCTGTAGTTGTAACCTTGGGAGGGATGGTCTTTATTTCTTCTGTTTCCTCTCCCACACTTCTTCAGCCTGTGCTATGGCTGTAGTTGTGTCAGATGGCTGCCTAGATTGTGGGATGGAGGTGAGACTGGTGGTGCCTGGTATCTGAACTTCATACCAGCTTGTTCGGCTGTGTTTGTACTGGCTCCTTTCTCAGCTTGCTCTGGAGAAAAACTGAGCTTTTCTAGGGTCCACTAATGGGGGCTGCAGGCCTGGAGGCAGCTAGGGGCTGCTGCTGAGGCCTGGGAGCAAGCCCTGAACCATACTCTCCTACAGGCACTGCTTCACTGGCAGCTACTCAGTCATTGAACCTTTGTTGAAGTACTTCCCTAACATGTCGGTGGGCTTCACAGCAGTACTGACCTACTCCTCTGCCTGGGAGGCCCGGGATGCCCTTAGACAGATCCCATTGGAGAGGATCATTGTGGAAACAGACGCACCCTACTTCCTCCCTCGCCAGGTAGGACTGTCTTCAGACCGACTTGAGGCACTGAGGTGAATTGGTGGGAGGCTGGCTGGGCCCAAGTCCCAGTGACCTTCTGGTCGCACCCTGTGCGGTATAGGTGTCTCCCTGTTGTTACTCTGTAGAACCAAAAGTCCTGGGGGCTGAGAAGCTGAAGGGTAACCACTCTCTTCCAGGCAGTGCAAAGCCCTACCCTGTAGAGGGTAGTCCATGGAAGCGTGGGACCCCGCTCACCCAGAGCCCCCCATGACTAGGACTCTCCCTGCACCTGCAGGTAAAGGGGTCTCTACAGGGCAGCCCCAAAGAGGTCCTTGCTGGACATGGGATGGGGGACACTCTATGTGACATGTTCAGAAGGCACAGCGATGATGTGAATGCTTGCTGTCTTCCAGGTGCCGAGGAGTCTTTGCCAGTACGCCCATCCAGGCCTGGCCTTGCATACAGTTCGAGAGATTGCCAGGGTCAAAGAGGAGTCACTGTCCCATACTCTGGCGGTCCTCCGGGAGAACACCAGTCGCCTCTACAGTCTTTGAACAGGGAGCAGGCATCTTCTGGCAAAGGTCATAAAAGCCACATGTTTCTTAGCAGTCAGCCATGGGAGTCTTCGGCTGTTTTTTTGGCTGTTTTGGTGTAACCTATTAGCTGGCTTATCCAGCCTGAAGCCTGCAGCCAAGGAAAGTTACGAATACAGTTGAATGGAAGTCCATAAACTAACTTAAACTTTGAGATTTATATGTTTTGTAACTAGATTGCCTGCTTAGGTGTGACCTTCTAGATGACCATGTTACATTACAGTGTTAAAGACTGAACATATCTGGTAGGGAAAGTAAAATCAAAGGCCAGTAAGATGGCTCAGTGGGTAAAGGCACTTACTGTGCAAGCCTGGTGAACTGAGTTTGATCCCTAGAACCTGAATAAAGGTGGAAAGAGAACCAACTCCATAGAGTTGTCTTCTAACCTTCATGCCTGCTGTGGCATGCATGCCTCCTCAATCATGCAAATTCACAATAATAATTTTTTTAAAAAAGAATGTAAGTCCAGGATTGGTATTAAGCCTGATTTGTTGAGCTTGAACTTGAAACTTTTTCTTTTTAAACCCTCTAGGATGACCAGTGCTGCCTGATAGTTTAGGATGGGCTCCATCTGCCTATCCAAGGTGAAGGATATGTTGGAGATCCTGTCAAAACTGAGCAAACCAGGATGGGATGTTACCCTTGGAACCTAATCACAAGGCTTCACCTGCTGTTTGGTGGATGGGTACTGTGGAATGGGTTGGGGAGAGGGGTAGTTTTGCCTGCTGGCGACACGGCCCCAGGGTAATCAGTGAGCAAAACATTTGTGACATAAATACAATGAGTTGGCCAGTCTGGATACCTGCCCAGTGGCCTGGGTTTCCCAGCAGTCTGAATAAAGTCACTTCTTTGTCTTAGCACATGTGGATGAGTAATCTGGTCCCTGCTTCTCTGTTGTGAAAGGAGCTTCCTCGGGGAGGTCTCCTGGGCATTCTTTCCAGCCTTGGTTCAGGTGTAACCTTACATGATTCTTCCATGGTTGCTACTGGTTCTGTGTCTCTGTGGTGCTGGTCTTTATGATCCCACTACTGTGTAATGATGTGTCCTATGAGTACTAAAGAAAGAGGTCTTCCTGTGATAGATGAACCCCAGAGGATGTAAGGGGTCCTCCTTTGGTAACGCCCCTTTGTCAGGTAGCTGAGCATCTGGGCCCCTTTTTGTATCTTGTTTCATAAAACACAGAATATTTCTCTTCTTTCACACTTGTCAGTCTCCCTGTGTCCCCCACCCATGCTGCCATTCCCCAAAGCTTGCCAGGAGCTTTGGCCATGTTGGATTGCTAGCGTTGAGCAAGCAGCCTAGAATCTAGGTGTGATTATTCTCTCTTGGCTGCTTTCTTTGTCCTGTTTGTTTTTTAGGACCCTTCATTTGAGCAGTGCATGTTCTAAATTGGTGGCTTTGTTCTCATCTCTGTGGTTCCTTGTAAAGGTTGGGTCACTTAAGGTCCTGGAGTTGGTGCTGACCCTGTTCTTGGTCCAGAAGGATTAGGTTGTGTAGTCCAGCACTTAGCAGTGAGTTCTTCTAGGTGGCTTTATCTTTGAAAAGTGCTCTTGAACCTTGTGAGGTAAAATAAATAGGTGATGTGATTATTGCCTGTTTGGACTTTCTGCCTAACCATGGGACTCAGTGTCAGGTCTGGGAAATAGCTTTCATCTCTGTTCACCTCCCTTGGGTCAACAACGTTTTGTCTATGTTTCATATTTGTTAAGTGGGAAGAACAGGGGACTTGGCTTCCTGTTTGAAGACTTGGGTCTGCTCGGTCTGCCACACTACTTGTTACTCAAGCTGTACTGTAGCCGTTTCTTTTGCAGCAGGCCTTTGGTATCTTTGTGGGTACCACTAGCCTCACTTTAGGGCATTACTACTGACTATTACACAAAATTGGAGGTGACTACCTTGCCCAGATGCCTCCTCATCTCTTCTCCGACTCTGACCTTCTCTTAATCCCTTAATTCCCATCCCATGCTCACCTTGCTTATTTAGATTGGCTTGAGTGATGCAGGAGGCTATAGCGTCCTCTCAGCTTGGTAACATGGTATTCTATGTGCTGCTTTCTGTTGCTGTGTTGAAACATTGACCAAAAACAACCTAGGGAGAAAAGGGTTTATTTCACCTGAAGATTACAGTCCATCAATCAGGGAGTCAGGGCAGGAAGTCAGGTAGGAACTAAAAAAGAGGCCATGGAGGGACACTACTTACTGGCTCCCCATGGTTTTCTTAGTTTGTCTCCTTATACAATTTGAGACCACCTGCTCAGGTGTGACACCACCCTCCATGTTCTGGACACTCCCATATCAATCATGATTCAAGAAAGCAACCCATTGGCCTGCCTGCATGCCAGTCTCATGGGAGCATTTTCTCCATTGAGGTTCCCTCTTCCCAGGTAACTTAGCTTGTGTCAAGTTGACAAACTAACCAACATACTTGGGAATGTCTGGAGATATTGTTAACTTATTGTAAGATTAAAATGGCTGTGAGAATACAGTTCTGTCTAAAAAGTCTGCTGCCTTGGAATGAGACATCCATGTCACTTTCCTGCAGACTTGGGTGTGCTTTAGCTGTTTAGCCTTTGGGGAGTACATAGTTCAGCAGAAGAAAGCAGTGTTGTACATGGGGATGTTGATGAAGTCAGTTGTAATGCAGGTTTTGGGCTCTGAACTCTTGTCTCCAGGTAAACTGGGGGGAACTGTTTGACTATCTGCAGTCAGTCATCTTATTTTATGGTATTTAAAATTTTCTGGTTTATCTGTATGGGTGTTTTGCCTGTATGTGTCTCAGTGTACCATGTGTGTGGTGTTCATGAAGATCAGAAGAGGGCATTGAATTTCCTGAAACTCAGCTGCTATGTTGGTGCTGGGAATTGAACCAGGTCCTCTGGAAGTGAAGGCACTACACTTAACCACTGAATTATATCTTCAGTCCCTATCAAGGTGTTTTTTTGTGGGGCTTTTCTGGGTTTGTGGTGCCGGGGATTGGCCCAGAGCCTTACTTGCTTGTGCTATTAAGCAAATTCTCTACCATAGAACTGCACCCTACCCTTGTGCTGAGATATCCTTGAACTTTAAGCTGAAAATGAATGCAGTACGTGAGATAGGCAGGTTCCCTTACCCCTGTGTGTAAACATGGTCAGGTGATTGTCATGGACCATAGATCACAAATTTCTGCTTTGTCTTCATGTCTGGTTCTGGGAGTTGTCCCTTCTGAGGCTCTTCCAGTGTTTCCCTCTTTTTGCATTGATACTTGACCATTTAATCTCAGCACTTTTGTTTTGTTTTGTAAGGGAACTGCTGCTGGCATGTATCAAGATACACTGTCAGGGATGATAATTGGTACTGGCTGGTTTCACTTGGTCCCTTTGACTGTTTGTCTCTGGTATTTGAGTGTTCAGATTTAGGGAGAGAGGCTATTGTGTGTGTTTGGCCTCTTCTTTGGTGCTTGTCAGACTTTTTGAGCATGTAATATATAGTGAGATAGATATACATGCTGTTATGCTAATTATAAAACATTTTTTTTCTCTTGAAGGAGAATTTATTTTTTCCTCTTGAAAATGCCTTGTTCCCTCTAGAGATACAGTTTCCCTATTCCAGGGACCCTTAAATTAGTGGAATCGTTAATACATGAAGGAGTGGTCTTAAGAAAATTGAACTAGCCCAGTAGTAGTGGCATACCTTTAATCCCAGCACTGAGGAGGCAGAGGCAGGTGGATCTCTTGAGTTTGAGGCCAGCTTGGTCTACAGAGTGAGTTCCAGGACAGCCAGGGCTACACAGAGAGCCCCTGTCTTGAACCCCCCCCCCCCCAAAAAAAAAAAAAAAAAGAAAAAATATCTAGGGACCTGGGCACCATGGTATATGCCTACAGCCCCAGATTTTGGGAGGTAGAGGAGGGGAGTTGACAGTTCAAGGCCACCAAACATGGGTGACTTAGCAAGCAAACAAAACAAAAAAAGGAAATTGATGCTGGAACATGTTTAGAGAGATGTATTTCCTTGGTACTGTACACCCTCATCGTGTGCTTGGATGTACTTTATTTCTACCAGTTTTTAACTTGAAAGTGTCCTTGATGAATTATCAAGGAAAATGAAAAACAAAAGGAGGGCCCCACCTCCCTGGTAGAGTGCTTATTTAGTATACAGAGGCCCTGGGTTTATCTTCAGCACTGAAAGTCCTTATGAAACCCTGGATCCTTGGCAGTTGGGCCAATGTAGCAGATGGAAAAGCCACATGCCTCAAGTCTGAAACTCTGGTTATGAGTCTTCAGGTATTTGTTGTTTGACTTTGGGAGAGTTACTTCATTTCTCTGAATTCTCTCATAAGTAGATGTACTGTGGAAATGAACAGAAATTAAACTCATCTTTGAATATATACAGTAGGATCACGGAATCATAGGTATTAAGATGATTGTGTGCCTGTTCTTCAGGCACTATTATGCCAGATGCTGGGTTAAGTTTTGCAGTGACTGTGGCAGGGAGGAGCCAGGGAAGTGCAGGGTCTTGATGTGGGTTGTATAGTCCCATGCCCACACTGAACTGCCTGGTAGGTAGAGTTTGGCCAGAGTGCTCAGCATCTGCTTCTTGAAGGAATAATTACAGGGCAATGGCAGAAGAAAGAGAAGTACTCATTTTTTGTGAGCGAAGCATCTTGTGAACAACTGTTCATTCAAGTTCTTTCCCTCCATTTGCTAAGTTACTTCCTTCATTTCTACTTTCCAGTAAGTCAAAGTGGTTACTTGTGACAAAAATCTTAGACCTGTGCCATTCTGAGGTCAAGACAGGTGTTGTTGGTAGAAAGGCAACAGGGCATTGGTGCTGTTGCATATCTTAGGGGTAGACTTAATTGATATGGGTGAGCATTGCATAGATGGGAGGGAAAATATGAGAAGCTGAATGAATTAGTTTTTCTGTTGCTAGGATAAAAAACCTTGACCAGAAGCAACTTGAGGGAAGAGGCAGGTTTATTTTACTTCAGCTCACAGGTTACAGTCTACCTCTGAGAAAAGCCAGCAGAGGAACTCAAGCAGACACCATGAAGGAATACTGCTTACTGGCTTGTTTATTCCTGCTTGTTCAACCTGCTTTCTTATAACCCAGAACCACCTGTCTAGGGTGATACTGCTTGAAGTGGGCTGAGCCTTTCCACACCAATCATTAACTAAGAAAATGCCCCACAGACTTGCTTAACAAGAAATCTGATGGAGGCGTTTTCTCAGTTTAGGTCCTTCTTCCCAGGTGATTTAATAGCTTATGTCAAGTTGACAAAAACTGAGCAGCACAGTGAACATCTGTGTGTCTCCATGTTTCCAGGTTTGTCAAGGACCCCACACAGCTCTGTGTTGTTTGAAAAGGATCCTGGGACTTCTAAGCAAGTCATAGATTGGGGCTTTGTTTTTTTTTTTTTTTTTTTTTTTTTTTTTTTTTTTTTGTTTTATTTTTCAAAACAGGGTTTCTGTGTAACAGCTCTGACTGTCCTGGAACTCACTTTGTAGATCATGCTGGCCTCGAACTCCTAGAGAGATGTTTTTACCTCCTGAGTGCTGGGGTTAAAGGCATATGCTACCATGCCTAGCTTGGGGCTTTGTTAAAGGATTCTCTGGAGAAGGGCTAGAGTGGGACCGTGCATTCATTTGTAAGGAGTTACCAGATGGTAATATCGAGGAGCATCACAGCTCCTTGGCAGGGATGCATTTAGATTCCATAGTGCCTGCCAAGTGTGCTTATCCCTGGTCATCTCATGCTTTGGGTTCTGCGTGGCCAAGGCTTCCCTTGAGCAGGTACATGTCTCCTGCTGCAGCAGTGTTGCCCTAGCTGGGCAACACTGGGTGTTTTCCTTCTTTATCCTAAGTGCTTACTGGGCTGCACAAGGAATTTGGAGAGCTTTAGTTATGGGTCTCATGTAATATCACTGGACTTTGGGACATGGTCTAAAGATTTGCATTGAGGTGTGAGTAATATTCTTAGTATCTTAACTAAAATTACAATGGTAGGACTTGAGGATTGAGGCTCATGAGCTGTGATCTGGAGTTTGGGAAATATTTTGGGATGTCTACCTGGTATCAGGTGGTGGTCAGCTTTGAGTACATGGGACATTTGATTTGCCAGACTTCTCCAGGAGTTGAAGAGTGGAGAATGTGGTTACCTAGCCCTGTGTGGTATGGTTGAGAGCCATTGCCAAGCACCCATTCTGATCACCCCAGACAGGTCTTGAGTGTGTCGATTCTGATACTGTCAACTGGTATCTTTATGAATGTAGCCATTGGTGGCTCTTTGGAAGCTCCTAGTGTAGCTCTTAATTATTCAGGAAGCTCTGCTATATGGTGGACTGTGTTTGTGGCCTCCAACGCCCACCTTTAGAACTGTCTGTCTTATAATCCTTCTGCTGTTTTACTGCTGGAATGAGCAAGGATTCGTTTGGTTTTCAAGCATGCTCTCACCTTACTGTAGCTTTTTTCTTTTCTTTTCTCATGGGTCATAAACTTACAGCATTGTTTCATTTCATTGTTTCAGTAATTTTTAAGTAAAATGTAAATTTTACCATGTTGATGAAAATAATTATTTTGAGCATTCAGCACTTAGCATGAGCATTTATTCTTAAGGCAGTAGGAGAGTGCTGGGTGTTGCAGTGGAGCCTAAGGTTAGATGTGGGTTCTTGCTCAGGAGGAACTCATAGTGGGCCAGTCCTGTCAGTAGTCACTTGTCAGCTGGTGCTTCTGAAAAGCAAGAGGTCAAGTCAGTCTTCAGGTTCACCGTCTGACACAAGTCATCAAATTTGCTTTCCTTAATCATGGTATGCTGGGAGCAAGTGTGTTGTGTTGGGGGTGGGGATCACTGGCCTTGGACTTAAAGAGGATGGCATTTGAGTGTGAACTATGTGCTTTAGGGTAAGTATCCTTATATCTCCCATCTTTCCTCATCTGTATGGTGAGATATGTATGATTGCCATATTTGTGAGGAAGTGCTTAGGGAAAGAATGTAGCTTGTTTTTGAAATTTTTGTTTTCTCAGCCATGGAAAAGCTGGGTATTTTTTTTTTTCACAAACTAAGAGGGTACTGAAAACCAAGGATGCAGCTCAGAAGTAGTGTGCTTGCCTAGTATGTATGAGGCTTTGGGTTTCATCCAGAAATTACATAGAAATCCTAAGATATAACCAGGCATAATAGCACATGCCTTTAATCCAGCACTTGGGAGGATAAGGCAGGTGAATCTCTGTGAATTCCAGGCAAGCCTGGTCTACAGAGCAAGTTCCAGGACAGCCAGAGCTATTATACAGAGAAACCCTGTCTCAAAAAAACAAAAGATACATGTCTGCTGGCATTTTCAGTGCCACTTTGTAGTTGCACTGTAAAGATATTTCAACGCCAGATGATTTGAAATGCAGGAAATAGATATCAGCACTACCTCACAGTTAAAAGAGTTGAGGGTCCAATGGGGCCTAGCAAGCTAGCTAACACACTAGTTTCTGGAACATGGGGCTGTTGAAGATGGACCTGAATCTCCAGCCCTCCTGAGCTGCCACATATACCAGCTCAGCGCCCTTTCCCATAGATAGTGAGGAAGATCAGAAGCTTGAGAGTGGGGTTGGGGAAGAAAATTTGTGTCACTAATAAAATAGGTTAAGCTACATTTCAGATTGACTCACCTTTGACCTCTTCCCAGAGGATGTCTTGAAGGAACTTCCCCAGGGCCTGGCCATGCTGCTGGTACTGAGCTCCTGACAGCTTGATACCAACGTCAAAGGGAGCGTTGAACTAGGAGGTAGAGTTGGGAGGGCCTGAGGCTTTATCCTGCCTGCCCTGCCCCAAACACCCACCTCTTCCCCAGGGAGGCCTGGCCATGTTGGCCACTTGGGTATCTGAGTGGTCTGTGAATGTAATCTTAGAGTCAGTGGGGAGTGCTAACTGGTCTGGTACTCTCCCTGTCCTCAGGTCAAGCCTGGAAGACACCTCTCTGTGTCACAGATAGAGGTGATAGTCAATGATTTAGAAAGCAGGATTCTGAAATCTGCCTAGCCCCAAGTCCTTGCTTGGTGTGGGCACAGGCTCTGTCAGGCTGCTAGGCATCAGGTGAATGGTAGCCTGCTCCTCAGTTTGTTTCGGGCTGTAGGAAGTATGAGTAGGATGGGGAGTGCTGGGACTTTCAGGGACCTGGAGCCCTTCCAGCCTTCTCTTCAGCAAGTGCTAATTGTTCTCCTCACACTCCATTGTCTGTGCAAGCTGGTCAGATCACCTAACCATACTCTATTAGGGTCACTGCCAGGGCTTACACCCTAGTACTGGATGGTCAGGGGCATGTGAAGTGGCAGCATTTGATTCTCACACAACCTGGGAAAGCCCCTTCTTCTTTGATTCAGGGTCCATCTGTTTAGTGTGGTGGAGATTGTTGGTGTTCTGTCTACAGACCTGATTTTGAAGAGAAAACCTTTGAGGAGAGATGGAATCCCAAATGACAGGGCAAGCAGTGGTCATACTCTATGCCCAGTACTTGCTACATAGGCCAGATGTTGAGGATCATAGGAACTAGGAAATGTTTAATCCTGGCCCTGTGCTAAGATTTCTTTCCTAAAAGAACTAAGTGCAGGACTTGTGGCTGGGGTAGCCACCTGCCCAGTGTGGACTTGGCTGTCTCAAGACAGTGTCCATGCCGTGTCATCGAAGGAACCTTGAGGAGCCAGGGGAATAGTTTTCAGGGTCAAACTTCCTGTGGAGCAAGGGTTTATTTGAGAAGACGCTCCAGAGAGTCAGAGACTGAATTTGGTGATCTTGGCATTGGCATTTGCCCTTGACTAGAGAGGAGGATGGGGGAAGGAAACCCAGACCTGTTGGCCTTGGGTGAGTTCACCTTTCAACTTGGGTTTCTTATCTACAAAGTTTAGTCAATGATGCCAGTCTTGCTTAGCTTAAAGGGTTTTTAAAAGAGTAAATGATCCATGATAACGGTAGAACAGGGCTGGAGATGTGGCACTTAGCAGAGCACATGCCTAGCAGTTGTGAAGCCCTCGGTGTGCTCCCTGCTGCTCAGTTAATCATGGTTGCTGTGTTTGAAGATGAAGTTTCATGTAGAAACACAGTATAGGGACAGACATCGCCAGATGCTACTTACAGTTCCCAGGGGAATCCTAGGTGAGCTGCTGAGAGGCACCTATGGGTTCCTTTATTCCTTTCTCCCAATCCTTGAGCTGTTGTGGTTTTTCTTTACCCCATGCAAAATTCTTCAAAGCAAAACTGACTCCATTAGGCTAGTGGTGTATGAGCTAGCCAGCCTGCACTAGCAGCCCACTTACCTCTCCATAACCAAGGCAGGCCTGAGAGGCCTGGGATAGACAAAGACTTACTTCTGTCTGTGTCTCTCCATCTGTGCTCCCTGGCTCTTTGTGACCCCCTGGAGTCTTCTGACATCTTTGCTGATCCTGGCTGCTCCCTTGCTACCCTTGCAACATTTAGCTCTTTTGTGCCAGAGACCCTGACCCCCTTGCAGAGCTGTTGTTGCTGGACTCTTAATTCATGAGAATCTTGAAAAGCTTATACTCCATTCTACCCCACCCAATTCCCATTACTGTCACAAGAACATACTGGTGCCTGGGTACCAACCCTGATCTCCAGTTCCTCCTCTGTCCCTTCTGCCTGTCCTCTGCCCTCGGGGTGGAGCCAGCCTTCCAGAGATCGTGGCTGCAGTTTGGCCTGTGGCTTCTTGGATTCCTTTCTCTGCTAGAAAGGAAAAGAGGGTCCCTTTATTTTTCTTAAAATTTATTATTATATTTACTTATTTTGAGATAGAGTCTCACTATGTAGCCCAGGCTGGACTTAAAATTTGAGGCTCATCTGCCTTTATCTTCTAACGTTGGGATTATAGTGTGCACTACCATGCTTGGATGAGGTTTTCTCTTTAGGGACTTAAATCTGCATATCCTACCAAAAGCAGAATTGGGTCACATCAGAGTCCTCCCTTAAGCTTGAAGGCCAGAGAGATGGAGCCACTGCTGCTCGTCATGGGCCTAAAACAGACCGTTTTAGATATGGGGCTTGTGGAGACAGGCTTACCTGGGCTTTCTGGTGCTCTGGGCTCAGGAAGCTGGAGCCTGTCATGGCCACATCCATCCAGAGCACACTGAGTAGCAGCAGACTGCAGATGGTCCCTGAAGACAGCATGGCCTTGGTGGTGGGTACAGGTTGCCCTGAGAAAAGAGAGTCTTCTGGCAGCATACCTATCTCTATGATACGCCTTAGATTTTGTTTAGGTTGGAACCCAAGAAACTTCAAGAAGGGTAGAACCTGGAGTGGAGACTGCTGAGTGAAGCAAGACTCTCTTGTCTTAAAAGGGTGGGAGAGCTGAAGGCTGAACTCTGTCTTTTCTAAACTAGAAGGCTGTGGTGTTCATCCCAGTGTCATTTGTCCTGAGCCCCCAGGAGCCTGATGATGGAGCTAATTAGTTCTTTATTCAGCTTTTTCTCAGCAGCCAGACTAAACGTAGGTTGTCCACTGTCCCTTTTGTTCAGTGAGCTCACTGACACCCAGAGAAAGTAAGTAAATGGCCAGTAGTGAGTAATTTAGACCCCTATGAGCACATACAGTTGTGCATACACATACACACATACACAAACACACAACACAGCCTACCTGGAATGCCTCTGAGGTTGTGGTGCCTGCTGCCTGACTGCTCCTTATATAGGAAGCCTTGTGTTTGTTCAGATCTAACAGCCTTATCTTTGAGGCTGTCTACTTTGTGTGGGCAGTATTGCATTCCTTGGGAACTAATATTCTACTCCCTCCCCACTGTTGAAGAACAACAGTAGCAGTCAGGTGCTCTGAGAGGTATCATACGCAGTTAGCTTCTGTTGGGACAACAGCTCCTGATGTCTCTGTGGTACCCATGTGGGTCTGGCTCTGCTAGAGTGTTGGCAGCTCTGAGGTCTGGCTTAATTATGGTGTGACCTTGGCTTGTCCCCTTCCATGTGAGATGATATTGCCACCAGGAGAGCTTTAAGATTTTGTTCAGCTTTGCCCTGCTACTGTGCTTTTATAGCTTCCACATAGAAGCCTGATTTTGGGGTGTTCCCCAAGATGGGCTGAACTGTCTTCCCTAGGGAGTGAGTAAGGGGGAATGCTCACCTGGTGGCCATGCTTTATTGGTGTTCTGTGTGGTAAAAAGACAACTGTTTGGTCTTTTGTTTTTGTTTTGAACTTTTAGGCATAGTTTCCAGGGCCTTGTACTTGGTAGGCATTTTCCACTGAGCCATACCCCAGCCTCATCTGGTGTTTGCTAACCTGGCAGCTTGCCTCTCTGTCCTCTGTCTGGTATCAAGGCCCTAGGACAAGGGATGCCCATTGTGGAGGAGCAGATGAGATGGACCTGGTGATAGGAGTCCTGCAATATAGCTTTGACTGGGGAGAGTTCTAGGAAACTTTCCCACAAAGATCCCTTCCCCTTGCCTGCTAGTTCTTTGAGGACAGAGTGGGAATACGTTATAACTGATAATGTGGCCCGCAGGAGGCAGCTGTGTTGAACCATACCCATGGTTGTGATATACATGCCAAATTCTGTTGGCCCTAGGACTTGCAACTTCTAGAGGACTTCATGTAGTTGGATACTCTTCAGTAATGCTCTTAAGAAAAATAGGGCTGGGTTGGTGCATGCCTTTCATTCTAGCACTTGGGAGTTGGAGGCAAGTAGATCTCTGAATTCAAGGCCAGCCTGATCTATAGAGTTCCAGGACAGCCAAGGCTACACAGAGAAACCTTGTCTTGGAAAACAAAATAAAAAAGAAAAATAGGATGTCTTGAGGGCTGGAGCCTATAGATCTCTACCTGGGGCAGTACAGGCTTCTGATTCCAGACACACTGCTTTCTGACCTGTCCCTGCTGCCACAGTGATAGTGACATTGCATCGACATGGCCACTCTGGGTGGATGTCCAGTTAAAGGGGCCTTGATAACAGAATAAATGATTCAGGGCCCCATGACATCCTGAACTACTAGATAGTCTTGGGGGAGATTGGGCCCTTTGGGAATTCTAGTGACAGGTGAGGCATGGGCTGCGTTGTACCTTCTCTAAGTAAAAGACCATCTGGCAGGGGTAGCTGAAATCCTATGTTTAGTCCTAGCCGCACATAACTATATTACCAGGCACCTTCATAGCCCTGTCACCCACCTGAACTTAGAAACCATTTGGCCCTGGGGCCCAGAGGGGCTGAATATGGAGGTGGTGAAGAAGCACCTGCAGCCCTCCAGTCTGGGAGGACAGAAAGCCTATGCATGGTGATCAGGCATTGGCTGAGATAAGAGCTTGTCTACTTGGTCCCTGGAAGCTTCTGGAGGCAGGAGGTACAGGTGTTGATCTTAGATAAGGTCACAGGTGAGCAAACAACAAATTGCTGGCTATCTAGGGACAGAGCTGGCACCCTCTAGTAACATACCTTGGCATCTAGAGTGTAGGTTATAGCAGGGAGGAAGGTCTGGTGATGGAAGAAGTGTGGAGGGAGAAAGTACTAGAAAATACCTAACCACCCACCCAAAGCTGTGGGAGAGGGATGGGGCTGGGAAATGTGCCTCCATCCTAGCAACAGGAGCTTGGAGAAGACTGTATGACTCCAGAAGGACAGGTGGCTTCCCTACAACCTCCTCCCCTTTTAAAAGATTTATTTATGTATATAGGTATTTTGTCTGCATGCATGTCTGCAAACCAGAAGAGGTCAAATCTCACGGGACTACAGTTATAAACAGTTGTAAACCAACATGTGGGTGCTAGGAATTGAACTCAAGACCTGGAAGATTTCAGTGCTCTTAACTGCTGAGCCATTATTCTAGCCATTTCTCCACTTTTTAATTGTGACCAAAACCAAATTGGCAGCTCCAAGAATGGGAGCCAGGCTAATTTATTCATTCTATCCAATGGTTTTTCAATCAACTAGCTAGGGTTAGGCTTTTGAAATGGTCCCAGTTTTGAATAGCTTTCTGTTCTGAGATCCCTCAAGTACATCGTGTACACTTCCTCCTCAGACCTGAAGCCAAACATGTGCCTAAAGAAGCAGTTGTTTCCATTAGTGGGAACTCTTTGTGCAAGCACATACACCCCTTTACATGCACTGTGTACACATGCTGGTGGAGGTCGGTGGTTAACATTAGGTGTCTTCCTCGATTGCTCGCTAGTTAACTTACTGATACAATCTCTCTCTCTGAATTGAGAACTTGCCAATTCAGTTTTTCTAGCTGGCCAGCTTGTCAGGGGTTCTCTGGTCCCACATTCTGGGCCTTAGGATTTCAGGTAGGCTGCCATACCTGCTCAGTTTTTAAGAACCCCCCCCTGGGGATCCACACTCAGGTCCTCGAGCTGTGTAGTGTTCTTGCTGAGGACCTGAATTCAGTTCCCAGAATCCATGTTGGGTGATTCAAAACCATCTGTAACTCCAGCTCCGGGGGACCCAGTGCCCTTTCTGGCCTCTGTCAGCACTTGCACTCATGGGCACACACCCAAACACAGACACATACATATACATATAATTTAAACATAAAACAAAAAAGGTAAACTGTCATTTTTACACTGTTACGGAGTCTCCTTTTGCAGCTTCACTTTGCATAGGTTGAATTAGGGACAACTATGATCTGGAAATAAAACATGGAAAAGTCTGGAAATAAGCAATTCATATGTGTGGTTATTTGTTTTTATTTTATTTTTTTTGGCTTTTCGAGACAGGGTTTCTTTGTGTAGCTTTGGAGCCTATCCTGGCACTCTTACTATATACCAGGCTGGCCTCAAACTCACAGAGATCCACCTGCCTCAGCCTCCCGAGTGCTGGGATTAAAGGTGTGTGCCACAAACACCCAGCACGTGTGGTTATTTGTGTCTTTTTCCCCTCTTGTTTTGAGATAAGGCTTGGCTGTGCTGTATGTAGGCTGGTTTAAAATTATTCTGTTAAAGTGATGTTCCTGCCTCATACTCCAAGGAGTGTGGGGCTAGATACATGGCAGAGACCTGGTTCACATATTTTAAGTAAGTTTTATTATGGTTTATTGTTAAAATTGTTCTTTTGTGTATGGTGGACTTGAGTTTGTAGGTATAAGCTCTGTGTGTGCATGTGGGGGCCATAGCAGGATGTTGGGAGATCCAACACCAACCCTTTGAGTTTAATAGTTTTTTAAATATGTTGGGGTTTAAGGTCCCTAAGTTTTGTTTGATGAGTATTGTAGCAGCAAATGAGCAACAATCTGAAGCATTGCTGGGTAGAATGTTCTGTATGTTAGGTCAAGTACAAGAATGGCTCATATGTGCTGTAAATGTACTGAGTTTGAATGCTCTTTAGGTTCTGTTACTGAATGAGAATTGAAATGTCAGAAAATTGGAGCTGGTTTCTTTATATATGTTCCTGCTCCAAGTGTCTGGAAGTTCCTGTTAAGGGCAGACAGTTTTGGATTGTTAGGCCTTCCCAAATTGACCCTTTTATCATGTTCTGGTGTCTGATGGCATTTCTCCTTCTAAAGCCTGTTTTATTTGACAGAAACAGATAAACTTGATTCTTTCCTTTTGATTAGTATCTGATATGTTTGCAGCATTTTTATTATTTCTTCCCTTTGTGTTTAAAGTGGAGCTAATATAGTCTGGTCATACTGATTTAGAGATTGGTCTTGCTTGCAGTCCCTTAGCTGGGATTCTAGCATATGCCACTATTGGGCTGATTTTTCCTCCTCTCCCTTCCTTGTTCTTTCTCCATTTCCCTTCTCTTTCCATTCACTTTTCTTCTGGCTTGAACTGGACTCATTTGATCGTCCTGAAGCCTCAGTCTCTTGAGTAGCTGTGATTATTGTTGTCACTACACCCAGCCATGTGGTTTGATTGTGTGTGTGTGTGTGTGTGTGTGTGTATGTATGTATGTATGTATGTATGTATGTATGTGGGTAGTGCCAATATGTATACAGGCAAGAGACTGGCATCAGGTGCTTCCCGCATTTATTTACCTCCACCCCAATTTTCTTTTATAATGTATGTGTGTGGGTTTGTGTACATGTGTGCAGGTACTTGTAGAGGTCATAAGTGGGTGTTGATCCCCTGGTGCTAGGATTACAGGAGTTATAAGCCACCTGATATTGGTGCTGATAAGAGAACTCTGATCCTCTGTAAGAGCAATGTGTGCTTTTAACCACTGAGGTCTCTTCTTATCCCTCCACCTTACTTTTTGACACAAGGTCTCTCACTGAACCTGTAGCTTGCCTGTTTGGCTAAACTGGCTGCCTAGCATGACCTCAGGATAATCCTGTCTTCATCTCTCCCATTTTATTGTGTGGGTTCTTTCTAGCCTTTGCTTGTTATTAAGACAGTATCTCACTGAACTTGAACTTGCTATGTAGCTGAGACTGGCACTGGATGCTTGGTCCTGCCTCTATCTCCTGAGTGCTGGAATTACAAGTACATGCTACCATACCAAACATCTTGTTCAGATCTTGAATGTTTGGTAAAGGCTGCTTTTGCCAACCTGTGTGCTGGTGAGAGGTGTGATATAATGGAAGATTAAGGTAGTGAGGAGATATGCCCATGAAGAGGATACTGGGGTCCCGGTCCCTTTCTCTTCTTGCTTCTCCCTGTCATGAGGTGAACAGGCTTCTTCCTTTGCCTTAAATTCCCACCATGATGTAGGTAAACCACAGGCCAAAGGAACAGACCCAACGAACCATGTACCAAAAATCCCGAAATTTTGAGCTAAGGCATTTTGTCATAGTAACAGAAAGCTAATAGATCTTTATTTTATAAAGACATCTTTATTTTAGCAGGTGTGGAGTTCTGAGTTTTCTTTCATCAGAGATGTTTTGTTTGATTTCTGATGACAAATTGGCTGCTATTCCTTTATGTGTTCTTGTGACTATAGCATGTATGTCTCTGACTGCTGCTGTAACACCCTTAATGTGCCCAATGGTTGTGGAGGATTAGGGCTTTAATTAAATTATATTTGGGGCAGGGATTGAGTCAGGGTTTCTTTTTGTATGTAACAGACCTGGCTGTCCTGGAACTCACTTTGTAGACCAGGCTGGCCTGTAGTGCGCAGAGATCCACCTGCCTCTGCCTCCCAAGTACTGGGGTTAAAAGCAGTGTGCCACTATGCCCGGCAAGGGTTTTAATTTTAATTGTGGAAAAATATTTGGCTGTCTCTTCATATTTCTTCTCCCTGTACTTTTCCTTTTTTTGCCCTCTTCCCTCAGGACTCCCAACTACACACAGGCTAGACTATATGGTATTGCCCCACAGATCACATTATTGGTTCAATTTCTCAGTCTCCTTTTCTGGTAATTATTTGGTTCCTTCTGGTAAGTGTTAAAATTCACATATCTTTCTAACTGTGTTATCTAATCTGAGTACTTCCAACTAGAGTATATTCTAGAAATTCCACTTACCGAGTTTTTAGGTATTTCTCTCATGTTCATTTTCCTTTACATTCTTGAAAACGTAACAGCTGCTTTTAAAGTTCTTAGCTGCTACTTCCATGGTCTAACTTTTTTTTTTATTTTTTTGAATGGTGTTGCTATGTAGTCTAGGCTAGCCTGGAACTCACCGTCTCCTGCCTTACATACACTCTTCATTCTGCCTCCTTTCCTCCTTTATCTGAGTATGGAACCCAAGTCCTCACAAATTCTGGGTAAGCATTTTACCACTGAGCCAAGACCCCAGCCATGTATCTTTTCCACTTTTGGTTGAACCATATTGTCCTCCTTTTTGCACACCTTTAGTTTTGATCTGTAAGCAGGATATTCTGGTGTTTGAGTTGTTCTGCATTTTGTTATATTCCTTTAAAGCAGTGGTTCTCAAGTTGTGGGTTGTGACTACTTTGGGAACTGTATTAAAGGGTGGTAGCATTAGGAGGCTTGAGAACCACTGTTTTAAAGAATGTTAGGCTTTCTCACACAGTGAAACCACAATAGATTCCTTTGGCCTTTGTCAAGGCTGCTTGGCTTCAAGAACAAACCTTAATCTGGGCATGGTTTACACACCTTTAATACTAGTAGTCATCAGGTAGAGGCAGGAGGCTGAGTTCAAAGCCATCCTTAGCTATGTATCTATCCAGCTCCAGGCCAGCCAGGTAAGGTGTAATAGCTGGGTGTTTGAGACAGGATTGCAGTATTTAGCTCTGCCTGCCCTGGAACTCAGACAAGGCTGGCTTTGAATTTTTGACAGTTCTCCTGCCTCAGCTTCCCAAGTGCTGGCATTACAAGTGTGCCCACCATGCCTGACTATCATCATTCTTGGAACTTTCCCTAGTGTAGTACTGTGAATGTGTTCCATTGACTTACCTCCGGTGTGGACACCAGAGATTGTTTTGCTCTCAGCCACATAGAGCTATCTTTCCTATCATCTTAAACTCTTAGGGTCACAATTTCACTTACTGTAGCCCCATACCATCTCAACTAGCCTAAGCTACAAAGAGGTCCCTGGCTGCCGTGTGACACTGTGTCATATCATCTCACTCTGTTGAGAGCAGCAAGCAGCATAGGAAGCCAGGCTTGTCCTTAGGCTGACAGACTTCCATTCTCTATGAGCTGAGAAGCACAAGAAAGCTTCTTTCCAGCCCTTTTCTCACACATATTATGAAAGAAAGGAAACTGGTTTTCATGCAATTTCCAGAGGGCTTGGGTTCTATGGAGTGACTTGGGAGGCTATGTGGGCAGGTACTAGCATCTCCTTACTTCAGTTCCACCCCTTAACATGACAAAACAACAGGTTTGGCTTATGAACAGTAAAAGGATAGATGGGAGCTCTGCAGGTCTCCTGAGGTAACTGGTAAGTAAAGGTTTGGTGTGAACATACACTGTGGCAGAGGAATAACAACACCCACTCATCAACCCCCCACCCCACCCCCACCTCTGGTTCTGCAGTGGATAAGTTTGGGGTAAGGTGGGCTAGAACTCTAATCCTGACTTTCTCTTTAGCAAGTGGATAAGTCTGTCTCCTCTGCCATATTGCTTACCTGAAATCCAGTGTAAAGGACTGCTAAAGCAGCAAGTGGTAGATGGTAGCTATTATTGTTACTTACTGCTGGTTTGGGTGATGGTTTCAGGACTTCTGCTGGGAGTGGTACCTGGCTTAGGATCAGAATTGATTTCCCATCATAGCCTTATGTTTGAATGCTGAGTTAACATTCCTTGCCTGGCATATACGTGTGTTAGCATCTCATTACCTATTCTTGTTTGTTTTTGAGACTAGGTTTCTCTGTGTAGCCTTGAATGTCCTGGAAATTGGTTTGTAGATCAGGCTGGCCTCAAACTCAGAGATTCACCTGCTTCCTGAGTGCTGGGATTAAAGGCGTGCACCACCACCCGGCTTCTCATACCCATTCTTTAGGACAGAAGTCATCACTCCCATCCCATGGAGTAAGTGCACCCAGAAGGGGCTACTGTCCTTGAAGGCCCAGCCTGGAAAACATGGCTCACACAGGTGCTCACCACAGCAGACCAATTTGGACAGATGCACTGTGTGGGATGACACAGTAAAGTTTCTATGCAATATGATTTTATTAGCTTGGAAACAGCCTGAACCAAAAGATAGTTAAAAATGGCCAAAAATATTTAAAAATAATAGTCATTTGTTCCTAGCATGAATACTTTTCAGATGGACATTAAATTAAACACAGGAAATCCCAGTAAGGCAGGTGAGCACCCAGTGTTCCATCTGTGGGTACTCCCAGGGTGAGGAATCTTGGTAGCATTAGGACCCTTCTTCCCAGTTGTTGGGATGTTGTTCCAAAATAGGCAGTCCTAGAAATAAGACCAGGCCACCTGTGTTGTCACTGCTCATTCTGTTGGCCTTCTGTGATGGAGGCTGACACGGAACCCTGGCCCTTGTTGACATCACTGATGCACACCCACTGTCCATCCACCGACTCTTTCCATAGGGTCACCTGCAAGTTAGCGCACAAAGTCACAGGTCTGCACCTGTTTCTGCTGTTCTCCAGCCTCATCCTCAGTGTGGACTCAGAGGCTGTGGGAAAAGCATTTACCTCCCACTACACTTGCTCAAAATGCAGGGGAATGACTAACTCATTGCAGAGAGCAGAAGGAAACAGCACAGTAGAACAGCCCACATGGGATGCTGCTCTAACTAGAGTGGCACAGAGAGGACATACGTGGCTAAGAGCAGGACAGGATTGGGCCACCCGTGTCCCCAAGTTTAACAGCACAAGTTAGACAAAATACAACTATTACATGAAATTTAAAAGGTCTGTCCCTGGAGAAGAACTGAGTGGCTGCTCTCAGACTCTCAGAAGTACATGACCTTGTGCAGCTCACCTGCACCTATCATGGAAGTAGGATCTATACTTTACACATAGGGTGAGAAATGGCCTTATAAGGCAAGCAGAATAAGCCAGCTGTAAAATGCCTCAGGAATGCCAATTTAAACACCAGGACCTGACTCTGGTAGACTGAAGTAAAGCTATCCTTTGAGATAGAGCCTGCAAATCTGTTCTGGAATTACTGCAGAGCAGAAAAGGCTATCTGCAGAGGTGTGAAAAAACATGTTTCTTCACTCATACTTTTAGCAATGAACAATGTTGTTTGCATTAGCTTTAAAAAGGAAAGCCATTATGCTAAATGAAATAAGCCAGTCACAAAAGGACAGAAAGTAGAGTGGGTAGTGAAGGGAGCTAGTTAATGGGTACTGAGTTTGTTTTACAAGCTTAAGAGTTCTGAACATAAACTGCATAGTATCAACACAAAGCACTTAAAGTCATTACAATGGTTTAAAAAAATACATATTTTGCCACAGTTACAGAAATTATGGAAGTACCCCCTGCCCCTACAGAGAAGCTATGCTTTAAGGCAGAAGGTGCTCCCTACTTTCTTATCTCTGCCCTGTGTTGGTCTTTCCAATGGCCACTTGGCTATGGCAGAAGCAAGGGTGGAGACATAGGAGGTAGTAAAAGCCCCTGTGGTATATTCTGATTCTTAGGAAAGAGGCCCATCAACATCCTGGATAGCTCAATGTTCTCCTAGCAGAGCTCAGGCCACACTATAGCTATGCAAACCCTATACAAGTCACCTCCTTTTCTGTGTAATAGGGCACACAGTGTCTCAGGGTTGAGAGGCTGAGATGTAATTTAGATCCACCTCTGACTAGGTGGGCCCACATGCCAGCAAGTGAGAAAACATTATAGTCTTGTATGCTTGCTGCCCAGGAAATGGGGTATACCTTATTGTCTCCACCTGACACAGCTAGGATGTTTGCTGTGATAGACCAGCTCACATGCCACACGACATCGTTGAATTTGTGCAGGAGTTTGGGTGACCACATATTGCCTGAAGCATCATCGCAGGTCCAAATAAATACTCGACCATCCTAGGGAAAGACACACATCAGGAGATGGAGCATTCTTCCCAGGGAGAGCCATCTGAACCTGTAGACAGGCTGCTGAACAGTCTGTTCCAATGCTAAGCTTCTGATCCATTTACCCTGAACACATCCCACAACAGACAGGGGCTCTAAGCTGGGCAATGGTGGTGCACGCCTTTAATCCCAGCCCTTGGGAGGCAGGCGGATCTCCATGAGTTCAAGGCCAGTCTGGTCTATAGAGAAAGTTCCAGGACAGGCTCCAAAGCTACAAAGCGAAACCCTGTCTTGAAAAATAAAACAACAAAAAAGAAAAAAAGCCGGGGCTCTGGTTTCATGGATGAACAGGCCATTGCTATGGGTGTTCTTCTCCCTGCCTGGCTAGTCTTTCTCATCAAAATGGGGACAGCAATCTTTTAAACCAAGCTCAGAGACAGGGAATGAACAAATAAGAACAACTTCCAATAAAACACTCGAATGGGCCTAAAGGTCTTGCCTCTTACCTCACATCCCAGTGGTGACAGGACATCAGAGATGGTTGTGTCTGGGAAAGGTGACTAGGTATATATGAACCCATGAATTTGAGCAACCCCATCCCTCCTACATGTGAGGGTCAGGAGGGACCCGAACTTGCCTCCAAGTTTGGTACTAGTTCTCAAGCTACTTCTGACCCATCTCACTGTACACCGGCCTTACATGCTCCTGGTCTCTGCCCAAGTCTAAAGATGCCTGCTGCCCTCCCTTCCCATTCCAAAGGACTTTTCCTCTGTTGACATTGGAAGGAATCAAGGCTGAGGACATGGGATGCCCTCATGGGGTAGGGCTGACCTGAGAGCAGCTGGCAATGGTGCTGGTGGGCAGGCCAATGGAGGGGGCCCAGGCAACGTCTCGAACCCAGTCGCTGTGTGCCTCTAGCTTCTGCTCCTCCTTCCATTGGCCATCTTCCTCCTCCCTACAGAGGAAACCAGAGCAGGGAATGTAGTGGCAAGCAGGCTTTTCTACCCTAGGTGGAGAGTCCACCTTTCATGTTCTCTTCAATGAGAATAATGAGTGGAATTCTATTTAGCTCACTAAGCTGTCCATGAAGCTCCCAGGAAATGCCCTCTCTTCCATAGCTTCAAAGTTTTGGTAAAACTCAACATACTCAGAAAAAGAGCAGGTATTTGTGTTGTTTTTAAAAGGATGTCCTAACAGATTGAAAACAGGGAGAAAGGTGATCTTGCTTCTTGTAGAGTGTGGCTGAGCAATGACAGGCAAGAGTAGAAGTGCCCCTCTGAGGAGATGTCCACACAACTCACTGACCTCCACAGCTTGATGAGGTTGTCACAGCCACCTGATGCAAACTTCTTGATGTAATTGGGCTTCTGCCCTGATGGTTGGTCTATGAGGCTTCCAGGCACAACAGCAGGGGCCCAACTGACGGCGTTACAGCCAATCTGCAGAGGGGAACCTGTGGTGAGGCTGCACTCTTGCACAGCAGTGGGAAAGTATCCCACAGACTCCTAGTGATTTTCCTTTAGTTGTCAGGACTTGGATTACAGCACACAAATAATGTGATGAGCAAGAATTAGGCACTGACATGTTCCTGTTATACCAGCATGGGAGGCAGGATAAAAGGACATGAGTCAGGTAGATTCCTTAAGGTCAGTAGTCAACTAGCCTAGCCAAATCCATGCACTTCAAATTCAATGATTCAGTAAGAGATCTTGTCTCATAAAAGTAAAATGTGGGAGCAACAAGGAAAGACATCTGATGCCAACTCTGGGCCTATATATTACTAACAAGACACACAAAGTAGAGTTAACCTTAAAGGCAAACTATTAGACCAATAGATTTCTCAGCAAAAACCCTACAGGCCAGGAGGGCAGTGTTAAGTCCTCAAAGAAAATAAAGGACTATAGTACAGTCTCAAAGTAGAAATGAAGAGCTTCAGCTAAGAGCATAATCCAAGGGAACTTGGCTACAAGACTAGCCTTGTGAATGATGGTGGTGGTGGTGGTGGGGAGGTCCTGTACCAGAGAGGAAAGAAAGATTACCCATGGATTGCCCATGGGAGAATAAATCCCACTAGAAAAGTACACATGAAAATGAGAAATAGCAAACAAACAAAAAAACCAAAACAAAAAAACTAATATAAATATGAGCTAGAGAAGACACCATCAAAGAGGAGTCAAAACAACTAGATGACCAAATAATGACTTTTCATGGTAACCCTGATCATTGGCTTATATATTTAATTTTCTTTTGTTTGGTGGCAGAGCTTCCCTCCTTCCTACCTCAGTTTCCCAATGTAAATTATCTCAATTCACTAGTTAAGATACAGACTAGGGCTGGGAAGGTGGTTCAGTAAGTAAAGTGCTTGCTGCAATGAAGGAAAACTGAATTAAAAAACAGGAATGGGCCAGGTGGTGGTGGCGCATACCTTTAATCCCAGCATTCAGGAGGCAGAGGCAGGCGGATCTCTGAGTTCGAGGCCAGCCTGGTTTACAGAGTGAGTTCTAGGACAGCCAGGGCCACCCAGAAAATCCCTGTCTTGAAAAACCAAAAGGAAACAATAACAACAAAACAGGCATGATGATGTGTGCTTGCACACTTGTAGTATTAGGGGGTAGGGACAGGAGGATCCCTGGCACTGTCTAGTCAAATCAATGAGTTTTAGTTTCAGTGAGACCGTCTCAAAAAATAAGGTAGACGGGCGGTGATAGAGGAAGACATCACACATTGACCTCGTGTCTTCACATGCATATGAACACGTACACATGCATACATTACACTACAGAAACAAAGAAACAGACTGATTTGCAACAAGGACCAACAAAATTCTGGATGTAACTCACTTCAGCGGCTCAAACAGAAATCAATCAAGTGTAACCCCAAATTCAATCAATTCCAGGACATGATTAAAAGATTAAGAATTTATGGGGTAGGAGGAGTTAAGATCAAAACTAAAAGCAGTGAAACACTACCCAATGTAATCACAGCAAAAAACTTTACTAATTCCTCCCCCCCCCCCCAAAAAAAAGCAATGGGCTCAAGTGTAAGATGCATTTAAACCACAAATAGGAATGGCCACAGAAGAAACTTTCTATGACTAGGTAAAATGTCAAGGCTATAAAACAGTGACAATATTTAAAGCTGTACAAGGGCTGGAGGATGGCTTGGTGGATAAGGGCACTTGTGAAAGATCTAAATAATTCAATCAATAAATGGCAGATAAACTGAGCAGTTCTCAAAAGGATCAGTAAAAATGCAATACATGAAACAATGTTTGTCTAGTTACTCAAGAAATATAAACAAAAGCACACCAACTCCACCCCTCCCTAAGCAAAGCAGCCATCAAGAAAACAGCAGCAAATTCCAGGATGGATGAGGTGGGAGAAAGAACGCTTACACAGTGAAGGTGGTGGGGGTGTATGTAAATTAGTACAGCCACTACAGAAAAGAACTCCAACAGGGTTCTGCTCTGTGACTTGTATACATACATACCTACCTACCTACCTACCTACCTACCTACCTACCTACCTACCTACCTACCTACCTACCTACCTACCTACCTACCTACCTACCTACCTACCTACCTACCTACCTACCTACCTACCTACCTACCTACCTACCTACCTACCTACCTACCTACCTACCTACCTACCTACCTACCTACCTACCTACCTACCTACCTACCTACCTACCTACCTACCTACCTACCTACCTACCTACCTACCTACCTACCTACCTACCTACCTACCTACCTACCTATCTATCTATCTATCTATCTATCTATCTATCTATCTATCTATCTATCTATCTGTCTATCTAGAGGACTCTGAGTCAGCACAGCACAGGAATAACTCAACCATCCATGTTTATTGCTGCATTATTGACAGCAGCTAAAAACTGGAGCCAGCCCTCTGTACACCACCAGAGAAAATGATCAAGGAAAACGGGGCCTCGATACACAATGGAGGGAGCTTCATTCTGCCACGGAAGAATGAAATTATTTCATTTGCAGAAAATGAATGGAACTAAAGGTCATCATGTTAAGTGAAATAAACCTCACTCAGAAGGACAACTATCACATATGGAATAGACATAAACAAGCCAGGTGGTGGTGGCACACGCCTTTAATCCCAGCACTCAGGAGGCAGAGGCAGTGAGTTCAAGAACAGCCTAGTCTACAGAGAGTTCCAGGATAGCCAGAGCTACACAGAGAAACCCTATCTCAAAAAAAAAAAAAAAAAAAAAAAAAAAAAAAAAAAAAAAAAAAAAAAAACAAGCAAAAAAACTAACCAAAAAGAAAACCAAGACATGATAATAGACGAGGTACTATTTGGGAAGAGGACTCGTGGACTGTTGGGAGATGAGAGGGTAACAGGTGAATGTGATCTAACTATATGATATGCATGTATGAAAATGTCCCAAATTGTAATTTTGCACAATGATTATATACTAATTGAAAAGCAAAAAGGTAAACATGAAATTGCCAGATGACCCAGCTATTTACAGAAAGATATATACCCAAGGGAATTTGAAACAGAGATACAAAAACATACCCATAACATTCATAGCAACATTTACTAATAAAAACTGAACATGCCCATTATCAGACAGGAAAAATGAATGAAGGTTTGACACAGGCAAACCCTGAAAAATTAGTATTTGCTAGTTTGTTCTTTCATGTACAACTGTGTTTGAGAATTATGAGACATCCAGTTAGGGGCTCAAGAAATGTGAGTTTCCATTTTCCACAATGCTTTCTAGACTATTTCAATCTTAAGGTCCAAGTGCTAGAAAGCACAGGGAACTAGATCTCTAGGCCAGTCTTTAAAACACCACTGAGTTCTGGGAACCCCTAATGCATGTCAGCCTGAGGCTTCTGTAGCCAAGCTTCTATAGTAGTTGAAGGCCCCCACACTTCTACCCCCAACCTGGGGGCTTACTAGGAGAAACCAGTGCCACCTCTGCCTTGGACGGAGAAGGCTGGTGCAGCTGCTGTCCCTCAGAGTAAAGAGGCTCCAGCAGTACCTAACCTATAGCCACTTCTCAGCAAGGATTCTCAGTCTCCTCCTGGGAGCACAGAAGACTTAAGCACAGCAACTATGCTCTCCTCCATGCAAAAGGTAGGGGTTGGACTCACCGTGTGAGCGTTGTTAATCTTCTTCACTTCCCATTGGCCTTCCCCTGTATAGGTCAGCAGGGAGATGGCCCCATCCGAGCTCCCACAGGCCAAAATCAGGCCATAATCATGAGGGGCCCAGCATACAGAGTTCACTGTAGAAAGGAGGCACAGTGAGCAGGCTTTTATCATACATCTGCAATTTTGCTAAACTCTTAGAAAAACCAGAGGGGTTGCAAGTGGCCAGTTAACATTTGGCCAAATAAGGAAAAATCAACACACCTAACAGCATTTCCTAAGACTGTCCTCACAAAGCAAGGAGGAGTGGCAGCCTGAGATTCAAGGCTATCTTGGGAAGCCTCACTGTTCTTGATAAACCTTTTTCTGGACTGGCTTTAGGTCTTGGGGACTGACCTCAGCCGTGGAAAAGCCAACCAGTGTCCAAAGGATGGACAAGCAAGGGAAGGGATTTTGTCATGTGACCAGAACAGAGGACCTGCCCACCCACAGGACCCTCCCACTCACCTGCTAACTCCACATACCTGAGGAGTCATGTCCTGAGTGCTCATGAGTCTTCTCCCAAGTGCCATTTTCCTCCTTCCAGATAATAACTTTCCGGTCATAGGAACAGGAGGCCAGGATATTGCCGTACATGGGGTGGGCCCAGGCTACTTGCCATACTGGCCCCTCATGTCTGCAAGGGAGGGGGTCAGAGGATGCTCAGAGGGTCAGGAGACCCACAGAGTTACCTCCCTCTGGAGAGACAACAGAATATTCCCAATGTCTTAGTTTTTTGAGTCAGGGTCTCACACTATTTAGCCCTGGTTACCCTTGAGCTTGTTGTGATCCTCCCAAATGCTAGGACAAAAGGTATGTGTCACTATACCTAATTTTGGTCTTCGTTCTACTAAGTTTAAAGCAAAAACTCCCTATCATGGAATGAATTACTAAAACACTGAATTGCCTCTTTGCCAAAATCAAGCTAACAAGTGGCAGGTCTAACAATCTCTACAACTTCAAAGTCACAATGAGCACAAATGGTATTCTTAGACAACTACATGTAAGACAAAAACACATCTGACTTTTCTTGATGACAGAGTGATGACAGGCACTACAGTCACTACTGGGGTTTCCAGCCTACATCCAAAATAGAAGGAAGTGGTCAATTCAGAGTCATGCTAACAAATGTAATTGCTTTCCCTGTCCCAGTTTGCTAAACCTTTGTTTCTATTTTGAGAACCCTTGTAGACCTAGGCATCCTAGGTTAGGAACCCACATTATGTGAAAGGCACTGATGGAAAGCAAAGATAGGACTATGCAAATGAGCCAAGACCTCAAGGGTTAGTGGGAGAGAGAAGAGCAAACAGGGAGAACAACACGATGTATACAATTTGTCTTACGGGCCCAGCAAGATAGCTCAGTGGGTAAAGCACTTTCTGTGTAAGCCTCAACACCTGAGTTTAACTCCCAGAACCCATGAAAAGGCAGAAGAGAACTCCATAAAGTTGTTCTGACTGCCACATATGAGCCTGCACATGTGCCCCAAGTAAGTTTATCTCATGATCATACTTATCAAATGATACTTCAGGTCAAATGGCTAAATATGTGCAGGAAGGTAGTTGTGTTTGTTGCTTTTGAACATGGTAATGGTTGCCCATATCAAAGATATACTTACGATGGGCCCTGGATGGAGGCAGGATTAGCCCATCTGAAATTAAGCAGAGTAGGGCTCCAAGATGCAAAGTGCCTCACTTGCCTAGGTCTCTTGGGGGTAGAGCCAGGGGTCATACCTGAATACACCTGTGCCCTTATCTGCACCTCTGCTAAGGGCACAGGGGTCTGGGCTCTAAGTCTCCTCATTGCTGAACACACTCTGGGACTGCTCTAAATTGGTGCTTTCATCCTTCCTCCCAGGCCCGAGAATCCAGCTATCCCCGAGACCTTCTCCAGGCTTGTTTACACTTACCCTCTAAGGTCTGCAATGAGGATCTGCCCTCCATTTCGCACATCAAAGATTTTGACGGACCTGTCCGAGGAGCAGGTTGCTAGGCGGGTGCCATAATAGTCCATCTGGGCATCATGCTGCAAGGGAGGACAACTGGGGAAGCCTGTAGGATGGGTGGGTGACGCCCCAGCTAGGCCTAGTATAGAGCAGAATCTACCCAAACTCCTATCTGTGCATCATGTTGCAAGGGGAGGGCAGCTGAGGAAGCCTGAAGGACAGGTGGGTGAACCAGTCAGGGCCAGGTACACACAGGAGTCCACTCAAACTCAGTCGCAAAGAATCATCACCTCACACACAAGAGGCTACAATGCTGGTATTATCACTTCCTTGCCAGGAACGTCTTTCTGCAAGGGACCAAACAAGCCATACTACTGAGCTGGTTGTTCCAGACCCTCCACGCACAACTTCTAATCCTAAATGGGTACAGGAGGAAAAATTGACTTAGCTGTCCTCTGCCTCCTTTCAGGCCCTGTCCTCATCGCACGGGCTATTGGGGAAGTCACCCTGAGGTGACCCCAAGGCTAATGATAGAGAGCAGACCTCAGAATACTTCAGGCTCCGTGCGGCACCTCTCTGAGGCACTGTGGGCCTGGACACAGAATTCCGTACAGTTATGTGGTCCTTTCACCATACCAAAGTCCTAGATAGTTTGGGGACCTTTTCCCCAGCAGTGTGCCTAGTACTCCAGATTCCATACCATTGCTCCTGTTGCTTAGGAACCAACTTTTGACACCGACTGGATACCTGGACTTAGGGCTGTCTGCTGCCCCAGTTTTGGGCCTATTTCTGCAGCATGTTATATGGTCTCCTTCAACATCAGTCCCCTGTTGGCTGGTTCACCTATCCAAGTGGTTGCTGCTTTCCTTTCCCACCCTGCAGGTTTCAGCAATTGTCAGCTATCCCCTGGAGCAGTTACAACCTTTCAAAGGTGTTATATAGAACTTAACATTCCTTTGCCACTTTCCTACTCAAGGAAAACAATTCCTCTGGAAGGTCATCTTTCTACTGTGTTACTGCTCTCCTGGTAGGCAGGCTGCACACCCATTTCAAAGTGCTTTGCAGCAGAGTTCTATCATACTGGGAAGGAGGGCATAGGACCTGGGGTGGAAATTCTATCTCCTTAGCTTACCTATTATACAACCTTTGAAAACTTAGTTTATTTCTTTAACCTGTGGTTTCCCTATCTTTCAAAGGGGTTAAGGAGTGCACTGGCTTCAAGAGTGAAGACTTAACAAGGTATGGAATGGAAAGTACTCAGGATCTGATGACAAACTTAGTGAGCATGTATTACTACACTGCCTCATCTGGTCCCCAGGAGGAAACAAAGGTAGGACACTAGCAAGGGTGTCTAGATTGGATATTATTGCCCTTGGGCCCATGCCAGCTCCAGTTGTGGGCTCATAGCTAGACTGCTCATGACCAGTACCAGCAACATGCACAGCTTTGTATCAGAACCCCCAAACAAGTGCCAGTAATCAGGCTGGGAGGCCAGGAACCTCAGAGAAAAGCCTGAAACCACCAGGCCTGGGTCCTCTACCCAAAGGCTGCCTGCACTATTTGGCTTCAGGAAGCAAGCTGAATTTTTCTGTCTGAGACTTTAACCTTCTGGACCTTCCCCAGCAGCACTACATTGTGCCCTGTGTTAGCCTCTCAAGAAACGTCCTAAGTAATGATTCAGGCCTAATGGCCTGGTGTGACCTACTCTCTGGGGCAGAAGCCAATCTGTCTCTGCCCTAGGCTTTCACTGTGGCTGCCACTGACTTCCTACTCTGCCTCATTTAACTCCCTTTCAATGGAGCTAAGAAGTGGCCTTAGGAGGAAGACAGGTGGGAAGATGACTGTCAAACCTCTATCCCCAAATCAGCCTTACTCGCAGAGCAGGGTACTGTGTTGGCCAAAGCCTGAAGGGCCTGAGCTGTACAACAGAACCAGTTTCTCACAGCAAAGACAAGCCACTGTCAAAGCCTTGCCAACTCAGAGGTCATGTGGGAGAATGACCCTGGAGGCTATGGCCTGCTGGCAACTATTACACAGTCTGAACCCCCAGGGAGAAGGCCCGTGTCCAGGCAGGAGAAGGCAGGAATGAATACTTACAATCATGTCCTCATGAGAGGTGTCCACGGTGTTGATTACTGACACCTAGAACCAAAGATACTCTGTGAACTCACTGACAGCAGCTGTTGAGAGTCATCTTAATGAAGCACCAATTGTTTTAAAGTTCTCAGGCATTTGTTCACTCATTCATTCACTGACACGCTCATTCAGTAAACACTGGCTCTCATTATGTAATTCAGTCTGGCCTTGAACTTGCCTCAGCCTCCCAAGTGCCAGGATAACACATGTGCATTTTGACTTCCAGCTAAAGACTTTGTATGTATTGAGTACTGTGGGAAGGACTGCAGACTGACAGGAATGTGAATGGCAGTTCTTGCCTCAGGGAGGCTCATGTGTAAATAACCTGCCAGTAGCCAGATGAGCCATACTGTGGTTTGTGTGGGCAGGAGGAGCCCAAGATGAGGGGATACACAGTTGCCTTAAGTGATGAGACCCAGGGAGAAGATATAATCCAAGCAGACAAGGATCCCATGGGCAAAGACAGTCTGAGAACCTGAGGTCAGTGAACCTGGAAAGCAGGTCTGGCAGCTCTCAAAGGTGAGGTGGGACCAAGCAGGAGCAGAGTTCACATTCCCTTTCTGCATTACAGAGCTCCAGATGGCCCAGAGAGTCTCAGACAGGACTTGATCTGAGCTGCTTCTGAGGCTACTCTTCTGGCCTGCCTAGACTTTCACCTTAGTGTGACCCAGGTTTGACAGTTTGTAGAGGCAGAAAACAGCTGTGATGGCCATCAATGATTTCCCCATTTGTTTCCTTGGTCCCCAACTAGCTAGACTCTTAACATATACAAAAATCCTGGACAGCTACAGTACTGTATGCTACTTCTCTGCTGGAGAATGTAGGTTCTAACTATCTGTAGCTTTGACACACATTCTCCATTTGTCTTAATGCACAGTTCTAGCTGGCCTGGAACTCACTATGTAGAACAGGCTGACCATGAACTCTGAGATTCACCTGCCTCTGCCTCCTGAGTGCTGCGATTACAGGTGTGTGCCATCCTATCCCTCAGCTTTGAATCTCTTTAAAATTATTTAACACATAAATGTGAAAAAATGTAAAAAATAAGTTACTACAAAAACAAAAAAATAAGAAAATTACTTAGCACCATGTCTTACAAACGGACGAAACTCAGTAACTTATTCACTGAATTAATAAATGAACAAAAATATACCTTTTTTTTTTTTGTGGCTCAGCCATTATTTAACTCTTGGAAGAGAAAGGGGGGGGGGACTGAAAAGGTGGCTTCCATTTGAGATTGATATTTCTCACCATTTCCCTCATGTCACCTTTTTCAGTGCAAACCTTGCAGTTCCAAAGTCTGACTCTTCAAGGCAGGGTGTTGTGGTGCAGGACCCTAACACTCGGAAGCTCAGGAAGGTAGATCAAGAATTCAAGGCTAGCTAGCCCGGGCTACTTGGGAGAGCATGGTAGCAAGGCATTCAGAAGGCAAACACTTAAGTACAAGTTTCTTTGAGAATTCCAAATGCTCTAAAAAGTGCACTTGAGGGTCTACAAAGACTACAGGAAGAGGAATTGCACCTGCTTGCAGACACTGACATTGTCCCATGAGCACTGAGAGGCACGAGGAGCAGTCAATTACAGCCAGCAGAAAAACTAAACCGCTTAAGAGCCAGCACAGAGAAAAGCCTTGCCAAGGCCAGACTTCTAGGAATAAAGCCTGGCTCCGAACCCTCTAACACCCAGCTTGTTGTCAGAGCTCCCCCACCCCATCCATATAAGGCTGGCGGTGTTTCAAGAATCCCCACAATCCAGACTGGCTGAGGAAAAAGTAATTTGACATTGGTGACCCAAAGGACCCGTGAGAGCTGGCGTTTCTTTCTAACCATTCTCAACAACAGTCATGGGTTGTGATCCACACTTTGGGATGCTATGTGTTATAAAGCTCTTGGAGCAGTCCTCTGCAGCACCCATCACTTATGGGGTTACTGGAATACAGTAAGAAACAGCACTCAAAACAATTCAGCTCATCAGAATCACACCAGTTACACATTTAGAATGAGCTCAATGACCAACTTAAGAACCTCCAACTCAGCAACAGAAGAGTCAAAGGCCAACAGAAGAGGGAGGCAGCTCTTTGCATCACTGTGCCAACCAGGCCTAAGACTTCCAGCGGCTGATCCTCATTTATTCACACAGTGACTCAGGGGGCAGCGAACACATACTGCAGATACCACCGAACTTAAAAAAAAAAAAAAAACAACAAAAAACAAAAAAACCGAGACGATGCCCTAGACTACAGCCATTCAGCTAGGCCTCCCATCAGTTTCCGGAAGGGCCTATCATACCTGGGAGCCCTGTGTCTGAGCAACTGATCCCCCCACCGCTTTTGCTGAGGTAGTAGGTGGCAGGACCAAATGGTTAGGAGGATTTGGATCTCAGCTTTGCCACTGCCCAGTTCAAGTGTTGAGGATAGCAGCACCGGCTCCGCAGGCTACGCGCAGGCAGGGGATGTGCGATGGTGGGAACGTACTAAGGGCGCGGTAGACAGCAGCTCCTATAATAGTTTTGGCTTTTTTGTTTTTTCCAATTACGGAAGACACGATTTGGTCAGGAGGTGCCGCAGCAGCCTGGGCCTCTGAGTTCCGGAAGGCCCGGCGACCTTGCCATAAGCGCGCACTCTGAAACCCACAGAGGCAGAACACGCAAACCTTGAGGAGGTGTAGTGGGGGACAGCTCGAAGGTCACGACTGGGGCCGGTACCGCAACACTCACCATAGCTGTTGCTGCGGCGACTCACGGCTTCGGACGTGGCAGCACAGAACGCTTCACTTCCGGCGCCGGCCCGCAGCCGGCAGGCCGCCACCCAGGAGCTTCCGGTCAGCAACACATTCGACTCACACAAAGGTTCCGCCTCTCCTGGAATCGCGCCCCGCCCTCCCTCGGTTCGGACCTTATTGTTGGCCGCCTATGGGGCTCTGATTGCTATGGCGACCCTAGTCACGGGGATTTAGTAATCTGAAACTGTCACTAGCGGATTTTCTACCTAGACCAAGCTTTCCTGGTTCCTGAGATGCATAAATGAAATGATTAGTGATTACAACTTCACCCTCCTTTTCTGTGGGTTCTGGGTCCCTCTGGCTTTTATCACGAACGTGATAGAGGTTAATTTCGCGACTAGACTGGGATAGAGCTTTGTTAGGTCTTTTGTAGGACGGCACTGCTATAGGGCCGATGACTTCAGAGACCACAGACTTCCAGAGGGATTCCTAGGATCTCATGAGTCAGGCCCATGAGGGATTCTAGAAGTCCTGTCGGGAGACCGGGGCCCCAAGATCCCCAGTGTCCCCAACCGTTAGTGCACCAACTTTCTTAAGGGATGGTAAACCAGAGTCTCTAATCCCGGGTACTCTGACTGCTCCTAGGGAGGGCAACTTGAGAACTTGAGACCTGTAATCCCTTGCCCCTAGCTTTTGGTTTTCTACACAAGCACTGTAAGGAGGATGCTGAGCTGTGGGACATGGTCCCATTCTCCCACCCACTGCAGACCTGAAAAAGTCAAGTGGCCCCAGGGTGGGACTCACCCCCTGCCCCCACCAGCTAAGTCAAAAATCCTTTCTGGTCTTATGTTGAAACTGAGATTAAAAACCCTGGTGCTCCAGGACAGTCTCCAAAGCCTCAGAGAAACCCTGTCTCAAAAAACCAAAACAACAACAACAACAACAACAACAACAACAACAAAACAACCCTGACAGAAGATAGCTACCAGCAAGATGCTAAAACTCAGGGAGAATGAAGGGGCTTTGGAGAGGGGCTAGGAGAGTGAAAGCCTTATCTCCCTGCCCTCCCACCATGGTACCTTTGAGATCTTTCTTCTCCTCCAATGGAGAAGTTATCACAGGGGCGTGAAGAGGCAGTACTTAGGGTAAAACAGAAAACAAACTTGAGGGGCCAACTTGGCCTTCTATACTCCAAGAAACAGGTCCCTCAGTAGCTGTACCACTAATCCTTCAATTTATAAGGCCAAGTTAGTTTTCTCTGAGCCTTTTCTTCAGTGAAAAATAGTGACAATGGGATCTTATATGTAAATATAATGCATGAGGTGTCATTGTTATTGAGGAAATTTCCTGGAATAAATCCTGAAGCTGAAGACCTTGAGGATCTCAGATAAGACATTTGCAGGTAGACTGGAAGGCAGGGTGTTATAAAGCTTTAGAGAGCCAACTCTGGCTAAAGATGGAGAATTACCATAACTTCATCTCCTGCTTTTGAGGGCCCATTCTTTGCCCTTTTGAGTGACTGTCTCCTCCTCTGTTTGGTGGGGAACACAGTACAAGTGAAGTATCTCTTCTCTTGGGACCAGTAGTGTTTCATTTTGATTTTGTGAACATTTGCATACCCATGAGATATCCTGAGATGGGATCTAAGTTTGATTACAAGCACATACATATTATATACTCTTACACACATAATCAGAATTTATATATTTTTAGTAATTTTGGGCCCAAATCAAACTTTGATGATGTAGGGTTTCCTGTTTGTGGCATCATGTTGGCACTCAGAAAATATCAGATTTTCAGATTCAGGATGCTCAGTCTGTAATACCTACTCTGAAAGTTGATGTTGGATTAAATTAACCTTGGAACTGAAACAGTGTTTAGAAGTTAGAATGAGGCCACTGATGCTTGATCTGGGGGCCAGTTCAGTTTGGGAAGAGCTGGAATTTTGTGTATGGAACTTGATGTTTGTTTCCCAACCTGGCATATTTTCTTGCCTGTGACAGGTTTGCCAAATTCAAATTACTAGTTGTGCTGTTTAGGTGGTGTTTTGTTCGTTTGTTTTGTTGTTGTTTTGGTTTTGCCATTTTGACACAAGGCAGGGTCATCTGACAAATGGGAATTTCACTGAGTAGCTGCATCTATCTAATTGACCCATAAGCAAGTCTGTTGGAGCATTTTCTTAATGAATGACTCATGTGGGAGGGCCCATCCCACTGTGGTTGGTGCCATCCCTAGGTAGGTGGTTCTGGGAAGTATAAGAAAGCAGGCCAGGAGGAACAATCCAGGAAGCAGGGTTCCTCCACATTCTCTGCTTCAGTTCCTGACTCCAGATTCCTGCCCTGCTTAAGTTCCTGCTTTGGTTTCCTTCAGTGATGGACTATGATTAGGATATGTAAGCCAAACAAATCTGTTCCTCCTCAAGTTTCTTTTGGTCATCGTGTTATATTCCAGCAATAGAATGCAAACTAAAACACTAGGGTACCAGGCTCCTCTTTGATTCCCTCTGCTTCAGTAGGGAATCCCACCTATAATCTGTATCCACATTTCTTATCTTCTTCCTCTGGTTTATCCCAGACCACAGTCAGTCCATTTATAGCTTCCTCCAATTGCTTCCCTTCATCTCCCTGCCACTTTGCCTCTGAGTTACTCTTTTCTTTTCTTCCTGAGACTCCTTGGCCCAAGCGTCTTTTTGAGATGGGTTAATGGCTCATGACAGGTCCCTCAGATGGTGGAGCTCAAAGATGCGATCTAGGGTAAAATGTCTTTCCCAACCAGAGACTCAACTTCCCCAAGTTCAAATCCATAGATAACGGGGACCCAGCTGTCCTTCGGAAAAAGGCTTTGGGATGGTTACCATGCCTGCGTTTCCACGTGTGCATTTATTGTTATTGCTTAGTATAGTGTTGAAAAGGCAGACAAATCCCGTTAGTTACAAAGAGCACAAGCCAGAGATACAGAGAAATAAAGAGTGTACAATAAGAGCACAGTCACTTCCCAGCCCCGATTGTTCCAGAGTCCCCCAGAGCCCAGGCAGCTTGTGGAAGCTGGAGGCGGCACCATCCCCTCGCTACTCTGTTATAAAAGATGTGCACACGAGAGTTAGCAAAGTGTGGTGACCCCCGAGAGGAAGGGCCCTGGAGGGAGAGCACCACAGACATTACAAAACAGACCAAGGGCCTGGAAGGTGGCCCCAATAGCCTCAAACCTTTTGTTTTGGAAGGAGGGGATGATGGTAGCTGCCCAGGGCCTAGGGTTTCACACCTTGGGTGGGTTGGATCTATCTATTAAATCAGAGGGCTTCATTTGGACCTTGGAAAATATTTGGAGACTTCTAGGGTCTCATTGGGCCCTTGGTGCTTCAAGAAGTATCCTCTACCCTTGGGTTCTCTAAGAGCGGGGCTTCAGATACTAGAGGAGAGAGTTGGGTGGAAGGCTTGTCAGTGTGTGGTTCAGTTGGCAGCCTCTTATAGCTACAGCAAGCAGGGAGGGGACCAAGGGTGCCAAGATATCCAAGCAAGACATGTTTGTATCCCAAAGGTGGTAAAACTCTGAATTAATAAGAGATGACCCCCAGTAAACCAAATAAAATAAAATAAAATAAAAAAAGCCAGTTTGGAAAAGGCAGACAGGAAGTGTCCCTCTGCAGAGTTGCTCTGATGAGGCTTCATGTTTTCCCTTAGTACTGGGTCTGGGAGAGGCCCTCCTTTCCCATCCAGACAAGGGGCAAATGGAGACCTGCCCTGGCACAACCACAGGAGGTGACTTGTTGGGTGCAGCTTGGTGGCCTCTACTGACAATTCCAGAGCTTAGGGGACAGGTAAGTTGACATCTTCCCAGAATTCAGGATGCTGTTTTGTCTGTCCTAACAGGACATTCTGCATGTAGAGGCTCTGAGTGGACAATGATTACAATAGGGGTGGGCGTGGCACACAGAGTGATGAGGCCCAGTATGAGGGTTGAGGGGGGGCAGAAGAAGAGATGTGAGTGGAAATATTGCATAGAATGATGGGTATTCACCCCCCTGGGACATACCAAAACGTTTATGAGGGACAATAACTAAAACATGTGGCTGATGCCAGAAAGGACAGCAGATGAGGGGGGCAAGAGAGCACTTCAAGAATTGGGCTTAAGTCTATATATAAAGACATCAGCAGGTGGCAAGGTGGCTTTCCAATAGGCATGGGGTCAGGGTGGCTCTTTATTAACCAGAGGACCCAGAACAGGGTGGGTTCTGGTTTGGAAGTAGTCAGTGCCACATCTGCTTTCAGAAGTAGGGCACCTCCCCCCAGTTAGCTCTGTGCTGTGGTTGGGATGAGGGTAGCAGTGAGGTGGGTGGAGAAATGGAGACTGCTCCTGAATCCCGGACAGCCGTGAATGGCAAGTCCAACCTCCCTCCCCTCCTCTGCAGCATCCAGAGCTACACACAGTGCAGGCTCTCTGCTGGGCCCTCACCTCTTACTCCTCGCCTACCCAAGGGGGTGGAGAGTTGATGCACTTACATAGGACAGGAAAGAAGGGGGCAGGTCCCACACTAGGAAAGAGTAGGTTTCCTATGTTCTGCTTGATTTTTTTTTTTAAATACTATAGACATACCAGAAACACCTGTGTGAGTCGGAAGAGTCCAGCCATGGAAAGCATAACCATTGCATAGTATTAAATGAGCAGAGACGGTGAATTCTTTATTTACAATTATTGTCTAGATAAAAAAATTCATAAAAACAGATGAATGGTCATAAATTATTGACCCCCTAATGGGGTGAACTGCCAAACGTACCCCATGCTGCTAGATATAGGACGCGGAAGTGCAAGCTTTGTGTACTACAGTGAGTTCTGACAGACCAACCATCTCCTGTGTAGGTGTGTGCGTGTGTGGATGAGTGTGAGTGTGTGAGGGTGAGGGACTGGAGCTGGGGCTGTCCCTCATTCCTGACACTGGGAAGCCAATGCTAATGTCAGGTCTCCTTGCTAGTTTCCTCTGCTCCCTGTCTGAGAAACTGGCTCTGCTCTGAGAACCTCTTCCCGTTTGCCCTTGAGGCCTAGTTCCAAAGTCCAAGGACTCTGATTTGTGAGCACAACCCTGGTGGCATGGAATGAGGTCATAGATGCATGACTGAATGGAGGGCAGGA